CAGTATTTTTAACGCTGAATGCAAAAATGCAATCAGTTTTGGTCGGAGAGATTCCTAAGTGGGCGTACAGTTAAATAATTAATATTAAGCTTCAGTTTTGTAGATTTATCAACATATTTGTGGTATATACGAGTCCAAGTTCTAGTGGCGACTAACACTAAAAGGGGTGGAAGGTTTGTGGAGTGGAAACAGCTGTCAGTTGTTTACATTCAATATGCATTCAATACTAAACAAACAAAACCACACACGACGCCATGAGAGCAAAATCAGAGTTACAATATGCTATACAGTAGAACCTCGTTAATCCGAACTAATTAGGACCGGGGGTAGTTCGGACTATTGAATAGTTTGGATTACAGAACATATTGTTGTTTATACATAACAATAGCTAGGGAAAAGTGAAAAATGCTTTATAAAGCAAAATACAGTGTTATTTAATACAGTAGTAAACATAGGAAATAAACGGTACTGTACATTACAATTAAAATAATTACGGTACGTATATCAATAAATACAGTATACAATAAAGAACTACTGTACTGTGTATAGAGTACAGCAATGAGGCGTTCGGATTAGTGGACATTCGGATTACAGAGGTTCTACTGTAACTAGATTTTTCAAAGAAAATGGAGTTTGGTGCTGTTTAGAAAATACAATAAATCAACTACGATAACTTACATAAACTGTTAATCACATGAACTTAAAATATAAAACAAAATAGCCCAGAATTTATTCACGTAAAATATCAGTAAGAAGCTAGGCCACTGCCGACATGATCATCGTCCTCATTCCAAACCTCAACCATTGGCTAATGCCTCAACGTCTGTTAAAACGTGCCATAGTGCATAATCCCAAAGTACATAATCCCATTGTGTCTAAAAGTGAAAACGTGCCACAGTGCATAATTTAATGTATCAGCAACTAATAAATGATGTTACATTTAATCTAATCTAATCTAATCTAACGTAACCCAACCTTAATATTAATGTTTAAATTGCAGTTTATGTCAGAAAAGGCATGTGAGGAAGATAGGTCGGACTTTATGCGGATTCGTGACTATATTAAGTCCTTTGAAGTGAGGTTAGATTAGGTAAGTTAAAGGTTAGGTTATAATGAACCTTTACCTTCCTAATCTAAACTCACTTAAAAACACTTAACCCTCCAAGTGTCCATAGTTTAGGCCTTAATGTCCACCTATTTTTGGCGCATTTGCAAGGTTTTATTAAAACGGTTCTGAGAAGCTTAAAACAATGTTAATTCTAATGTTCTATATACCATTTTGTTTGGAAAATCATGGGCTTCAATATTATATATAAAACATAAGGAACATTTTTTCAAAAAAAAAATTTTTTAGGTAAAAAAAATATAATTTCGAAAATTTTCAAAAAAAAAATAAGTTTGCGCCTAATGAAATTGTATAAATTATAGGCCTATAAATATTTGAAAATAGCCACTTTGTTCTAAATTTTATGAGGATTACAAATATATAATAATATAAGGAAGTATATTTGCAAATAAATAAGTTATGGGCAAAAAACTGATTTCAGTACATAGCGTTTAGCTAAGAATGCATAGCCTAACCATAGCTAGGAATCTGGCTGATAATTTACATCAATATCACTACCTACTTCTTCAGGATCATCAACCAGCACTTCAAAACCACTTAAATCTTCTTATAATGCACCACGTATATCACTACTTTTGATTTTTAACACTAAAACAATGATAAACGTAATAAAACACATCAGTCATCGGTCCGGGGGAACCTAGCTGTTTACAAATACACGCACGTCAGCTGTCTGCTACAATATTTTCAGAACTAAAATGAATAGCGCTTAGAGACAGACATCTGGAGACAGCTTAGAATGTAATGGAAAGAACGATACCTAACTCGATCCAGTTCAATCCGATTCAGTCAGTTATAGAGCCTTCGCCGTAAACGATGTCTGCTTGTCGAAAAATCGGCAAGTAACACTATACAAAGTGTGGTGCTTGCCGAATTTTCGTCAAGTAACACTGGGAGGGTTAAATACAGTCACGAATCTGCATAAAACCCGACCTACCTTCCTCACATGCCTAAATAAGAACTGATTATTTGATTTCAAAAATCAAACAAATTGATTTGATTTAATTCTGCATTAGATCAAGTATAAACAGTTTTTTTGCTCTTCTCACTCAGTCCTCCTCACTCCTCACTCAGTACGGACCCGGCCAGTCCAGACCACGCCATATTACCATTACCTTCAATACCGCTCAATTATCCTTAGATTCGTAATCCTAACCTTCGTTTTACGGCCACTACGGCAAATTAGGAATCTCTCCGACAAAAACTGATTGCATTTTTGGATTCAGCGTTAAAAATACTGTAAGTAGACATATAAAAATAACATCATATCCCAATGTAAATACAGTAGGCCTAAATAAGTTATTTGCCAAGATTTACTAAACAAATAAGTTAAAAAGAAATTAACTCTAATAAAGTTTACCTAAGTTAGTTTCTATTTTTGGCCCTGGTTCACTTTTTAAATTTCATTTTAACCTTATCAAATAGGCTGTACCTACACTCAGAAACATAAGTTTGAGAATAAGTTTAGTTAGGCTTAGGTATTCATCTAAGACAGAATGGTAATATTTTGTTCATGGTTCAAAAAGAATATATTATGAACTTGACAGAAGACCTGGTAATGAAAATGGAGGTTGTGAAATTTTCCTTTATTTGAAAAGCCTAGAGGGTGAGTTCATGGTGACAGGTCTTACTTCATAATTGCATTGCTTTTAACACTGAATGTTAAACAAAATTATATATTGAACCAGAAATCGATGAATATTTAATATTGGGCAGTTTGTGGTGCACATCCTAGTCTAATTTGTCGGGAAATCGATGTTACAACAGAAAATGATGGATAAGAAAATACAGAAAGTTCAGTTTGTCAAGTCCACAACTGGAGTCTAATTACTTTGTATCAGGGCAAAGATGATAAAATGTAATGTAAAAATAAGTATGTAGAATCTTACCCTTGTTCTTCGGCATTCCAAATAAGCTTTACTGGACTTGTGGTTACTTAAAATATGCAACAAATCACCAGAAGTAAACAACTATCTCGTCAACAGCATTACGCCAAACTCCATAAAGGAAGTAAAAGTTGGATGGATGGATGGAGTGGGGAACGGTGGGAGTGGAGTGGAGTTGAGCAGACAGATAGATCACCACGCAAGTCAAAAAGAATGGTTAATTTGGAAAAATAAATATCAATAATAATTTTGGCTTTTTAGTTTTTACCACAAAAGAGCTAAACAACTTTAAATTTTTGTCTCAAAATTTATAATGTTTAGGGATTAGACTTAACAATAAGATATGACAAGAAATTTAAAAATTAATTTAGAAATGATTGGTTATAAAATAGACTCTAAACACATTTCTATGATTTCATAACTTTTGCAGATGTATTTTCCTAACATCCTATATTTATTTACTTATTTCTAAATAAAATGCATTTTGTCGTTAAAATATGCAGATATCAGATCATAGTACAACAACTGGCTGCTTAGCTGACGGATGACATTGTAATTATGAGCATTGATTAAGGACTACTACATTCTTATTTACCTATTTTTGCCTGAAGGCCTTGTAGGATGCTGAATCACTCTATGCGCATTTTGCCGCTGAGTGCGGCATCTTCATGTAGCTTTTCCTCTTACACTAATTTCTTACACAATATACACATATTTACAATAGATATCTTACTGTTCACTTCGCGGTCGCGGTTGCCCTGCGACTGCAACACGAGCAGCAGGGTACATATGTTACGGTCGGCACTGTTAAGGCCGGTATCCACAGTGCCACAGTGCGAGGCAGCTCGCTGCGAATGCCTCGTTGCGAATGCTCGGCTTTGCCTCGGACTGTGGATACCGGGGTTGCTCACTGCGAGCACATGTGCGGCGCTCACGTCGCACTCCCACAATGTGAGGCGAGCCGTGTACTTGTCGGTCTCAGAGCAGTGCTCAAAGGTGCCTCACCCCGAGCTGTGCGTTAAGTGGATACAGTACCTGCGCTGTCTGCCTCGCACCGTACCAGGCTGTTCTCTGCAAACCATTCCACGCGAAACTGTCATCATGGATACTCATGATAGAATAAGAGATTAGTGAAGTGTTGCGAAAGTAAACGTTTGCTATATGTGTGAGCTCAAATTTATGGCGCACAGATTGTTATAACTACCAATAGACTATATTACAGCCTTGACATTTCAGAGAGTACTTTATAAATTAACAGCAGGTCATAGAATTTGTAATTAGTTTTTGAATTGTTATTGTTCATCTTTGTCCTAACATTTGTTTGATCTTATTTACTATTTATTATTTAGAATGAGCTTTAACACTCAACCATGGGTAAAACCATAGACTAACCAACACAAGTACTAAATTTTGAAGCACGTTTTTCGTGTCCAGTTCATGTACGTGACACATGGGCGCTAGTGTCGACGAAACTTTGTTTCTATTATTTTAGGGTAAATTTCTTGATTTGTGCTTTATACTGTTTGGTTATATAACTAGGGGACAAGTTATTGTTTATGATTAAATCGTATTATTTGGTTAAACGAGGCTTTAAATGGCTGTAATAACGGGAAACAAATTGTAAACAAAACACGACCTCTACATAAACCGTACAGAACTAACAATAAAATTGTCTTCAGCTGTTCCATTAGGATGAGAAATCTACTAAGGGAGATCTATGGTTTTATCTATGGTAAAACAAGGGAGTATGTTTTATCTATGGTTTTATCTATGGTAAAACATACTTCCATAGGAAGTGTGCTTGTGTTACTTAGTCTAACGTGATTTTGAGTTTTAACACTTTCGAAATTTACTTTAGGGGACCTTGGGTTGGGATCTTGTATCTCCATGGTTTCCATGGTCGCGCGAATTGCGAAACTTCATCATCTTGATTGTTTATTTATATTTTCATATTGTCAATAATTCTAGTGTCGTCTTGGGAGTAAGTTATTGTCTTTTTAGCTAATATAGTTTTAATCCAAATAAACCGCGAGTTCTAACCAATGCTACTTTTTCACCTAAATTCTTGAACTACCAATATATCTAAAATTAGGAACAGTTGTGAATATTATAATAGGTTAACTTGTTTCCCTATTCCCCTAGATTAGGATAGGACCATTTATTGACTACCTACAGGTATGTTTATAGTAATGCTAGGACTAAGCATTAGTTTCTTTCAATGGTCAATTAACTAAATACAGTACAGTTAAGTTATTTAAATAGTTCTGTATTCAATTGTTACCACAACTCTTCTATTAGGAAGAGGTTAAATTATATTACATGCAGGTTGGTAACAACTTATTTTATTTATTTATTTTTGGTAGCTTATTAATACATCTAGTTAATGTTGTATAGATCTACTAGTTAATATAATATCATTTTATTCATACATAAGCTGCAAGAACATCTTCAATTAGTACCTTACTTTACACAACATGGCATTGTTAGTTAGAAGAAAGATGATAGGCTAACTCAAATGAGATAGCAGAGAGCATAAAGGATCAGGTTTTTAATAATCAAAGTACAGGTTGTCCTTATTATCCAGGTTACATTTCTTATTTTCTCTGCCTTATTTAATTAACTAGGCCTATTGTCTGGGAAACCAAGTGGCTATGCCGACAAATCTGTAGGTTGCCAGTTTGATTCAAAGTGTGATTGTTTCCATATACCTAACTTTGTATGCCATTTTTTGCCATTGGGCTAGTATAAACTAATGATGCTATCTAACAAAAAGTTCAACGTTAGAGAGGAACAAGACTAGGGGTTGGATTGTTCCCTTACAAAGATTTCCCCTGTTGTCAAAATAAAACCTGAAATTATGTGTTTTACGTTATGTCATATAAAATTGTACATTATACCTAACGACAGCTTATCTTCATCCGAACTTTGATTAATCGTTGATAAGTTGACACTAAAACTTATCTTACACTAGCAGGCCTACTAAAATATATATAGGGTATAGCCTAACTTAACTTACATAACTTAAGTTATCACTAGGCCTATGTCTTATATGACTTAAGTTATCAATATTTATTTAAAAATGGTATTAGATTAGGCATACCAAATTTTTTGTCTTATCAATTTTTTTTAACATTTTATAAATATCTTCTTGATGAGCATCGTACATCGTAGCATCGTGTTATTAATTTACATGAAAAAAAATATGTTTATAACACTTGTAATAATATTTACACTTGAACTGTTGACTCACAAGACGTTAAATAGGTAGAGGCTACATAAAAGATGGTGAGTGGTGATCGATTTTGATTGGACACTCCAATCTTCATCAGATCCAGTAGGCGAACATTCAATGTTTTATTTTTTGTTTTCCAGGAAATTTTATGTACTTAGGCTAGTTAAATTTTTTTCAAATTTATTATTGTTTTCTGAAAAAATTCATTAGGCTTAATTAATTTTTTTCTGAATTTAGTGTGTTTAAAATGGTTGGCGGCGATGAAGAAGCTGTTGAAGAGCCGCAGGTAGACCTCCTGGATCAGCAAGAGGACAACACTCTTTTGACAACTTTTCAAATCAAACCAAGCCTCGATGAAAAGTGAGTACCGGTACCGTATTGATGATGTCTACGGATCAATGATCAAATAAAAGATTTTCCAAATGTGGCCAATAGTAGCTGCCCTAATCTTTGAAGAAGTTAAGGTGTTCTCTTTGACGATGTTCTCCATCTAGCGATCTAGCATTGCTACAATATTTTAGGCTACTACAGACTTTTTCTTACTTTATCGAACCAGGCCTAGAGATTTTTTGTTTTAGGCCTCTTGTTAATTTTCTTTTTAAAACTTTTTAAATCTTCAGCACTTTGTAAATTAGCCTATATTATAAAGATTTTATAGCTTACAAATATTTAGACAAGAACCAATGAGCAGCAATTAAATTAACTCTGGAATACTATGGTAAATGAAATCCCCTCAGGGTCTAATTGAATTGTGTGCAGGGCAAAAATCTGATTTGGACGTATTAGTTGCTTCATAATTATTCCAACTTTGGGTGAATTTTATTAGAGCAGTATAAACTGCTCTAATAAAATCTAATAAAATTTGGTATGCCTAATCTAATACCATTTTTAAATAAATATTGATAACTTAAGTCATATAAGACATAGGCCTAGTGATAACTTAAGTTATGTAAGTTAAGTTAGGCTATACCCTATATATATTTTAGTAGGCCTGCTAGTGTAAGATAAGTTTTAGTGTCAACTTATCAACGATTAATCAAAGTTCGGATGAAGATAAGCTGTCGTTAGGTATAATGTACAATTTTTATAAAAAAGCTTTGACTATTAATACAAATTCAGTATCCAATAGTCAATGATAAAAATTCACACTAAGGAAATATATTTTACCACTGTCCATTTTTGTCTGTATTTTCAACACATAGGGATCATCCTATCATGGTTGAATGTAATAGTAGCAAGTATATTATTTGGCCTGAGATGCTTGAGGAAACAGTTTTAGTTGGGTACGCAGATGATGTTACGGCTTTAATAGGTGCACATTGCGTTGAGCTGGCCCAGCTAAAATTGAACCGAGCCATTCGCACCATCAACGCATGGATAGCAGACAACGGTCTCTCACTCGCTCTGAGCAAAACCAACATAAAGATTCTGACCAAAACGAGGATTGACACCATTGTGCCGTTGAGGACGGGGGACTTTGAAGTCCGAACTGTTTGTACTGCCTTTGGGTTCATGGTGGACAGTAAGCTTAGCAGGCTAAGGTGGTTTAATGGCCAATTTCCGCGGTCCAGTTGCGGAACTCTGTTGATGTCAGTCCAGTCCTGTACTCCTGTACGATGCGGAAGTGTGGGTAAACACACGGTCAATAAGGAGGTATACAGAATGTGGCTTGCCAGATAGCAGCGTCCGCGTACAGAACAGTGTCTAAACCCGCCATCATGTTGGTCTTTGGAGTCATACCCGTCAAACTTTTGGCGGTTAAGAGAAATGCAATTTATCAGTGGTGTGGAGAAAATAAGGCAAGAAGAGATTAGTGCACCCGCACCTACCAGCTCTGGCAGGAGAGCTGGGAACAGGAGACATGGTTCAGCAAGTCCAACCTTGGGTTGATTGGCAGTACGGAGAAGTGGATTATTACTTCACCCTGACAGGACATGGATTATTCCGGTCATACCTGTTAAAGATTAGCAAAGCTGTGTCACTTGATTGCATACTGCCCGGACACTTTTTCCGCTGTCCGTGTCAGGAACGCTCAACTGTTGAGCCGTGTGTTGAAGGCTCAACAAAATGTAGGGCTGTTGTCACTGAATACGGTCCCAACGATGATGGAGGATGAGGACAATTAAACATGTGTGTCACATTATTTCAGGTTATTCATTGCGCTAAGAAGCTTGACCTTGACCGAGATGCGTTTTTGGTCATAAAAGAATTCAATGCCAGAAACGGTGTGAGCCCTGGAGCTAGGTCACATGTTGGCCTGATTTGAGGAATTTGACAATCCCAGGCCTGTGTCCAAAATAGTAAAGGGGTTGTTTTAGTGAGTAGTGTGATTCATTCAGGAGTCTCACACTACAGACTGGCCACCTGTGTGCGTAATAGCATTATCCTCTCTTTTTGTTTCAGATTCAAGCCTCAACAGGCAAGAGAAATAATCTATTCTGTACTGCAAGAGAATTTAGGAGACAAATCATACCCTGAAGATGAAAACGAGAAAAAGGAACTTGTGAAAAGCCTTGCTATAAAAATCAAACAAAAATGCAGAGGTTAGAACTTTGTTTAGTCATTACTCATTAAATTATGCAGGGTTATATTGTAAGATGACCTCAACCTATTGATTTCAGACAAACTTTTGGTTCAACAATGATGAAAAGAATTTTACCCTCTCTAGACCAACCCAAGGATTAACTTAAACATTTTTAAAATGTTTGAATGCAGGGTATGTTCCAAATCTAGAGGTTCACTAGTTCAAATCTTACAATTAATTGTCAAATACAAACATAATATGTTCATTGGTTTCAAAATGATACATCATAAGACATATTATGTCTTATGATGTAGGTATCATTTTGAAACTCTTTTCAATATAAACATTTTAGTGGATTCTGAATCTGACTATTTCATTCCTCTTCAAACAGTACTGCTCTTTATAAGGAAAATGTTTTATTAATTTAAATACGATGTACTTTTTGAGAATACAGATAGCTCGACTCTGGTTAAAATTTCACAAGCTTATGATCTAAGCTTTATTTCTTTATGCAATATATATTATTATAAAAACCAAAATTTAAATTAACCGGAATATTTAAGATAATAGTTACATTGCCAAAACTGAAAAATAGCAGAAAATTATGTATCGTTTTAAAGTTATTTTGATTCCAAGCATGTTTTTCTCTTATAGTTATCAACCAAAAACAGATTTCAACCATTACATACAAAATGCATGTTAATTGTTTGCAGTGTCGTATCTCTTTCGACCTTGTGACACACAATGTTTAAGAAATAATTAACACGAGTTATTTGGGTGAAACAGGTTTTTAGTTGATTATTAGAAAACTAAAAGATATATGGGTAAAGTTTAAATTTGAAAGCTGCTTATAAATCCCAATACCTACATTTTTTTCATGATATGCAGCTTGACATGTAATGGTATTTGAAGTTTCTGAGTTTTGGTTATGTAACATATTTAAAAAAAATACTCCTGCCGCAGCAAACCAGCCGTCTAAGCGAATTTCCATTGGCTGAATTGATTTTCAATTACAGTAGACTCCCTCTTATCCGGACACCTTTTAACCGGTCATCGGTTTAACCGGACTACACTTGACGGAAATGACATCTCTTTGATCGGACAATTTTTATCAGCACGATCGGCAGGAAGTGGGCGGTACTGAAATGTCTGTTCTTGTGGGAAAGATTTGAGACCAGTGATCACATGTCTAAATACAATGCTCTCCTAAATTTAAGTCGAATATCAGCATAAACGGTCCGTTTTAACGAGTTTTGGGGACGTCGGCTTAACCGAAAAAACCGTTATCCATACTGGCCTTGGTCCGGAGGAGTTCGGATAAGAGGGAGTCTACTGTAAATTTATTTAAATAACATTAGGTTTAACGAGTACCTAGGTTTGCTGCTACAGGGAAACTCATAAAGTTTGGTTTTTAGTAAAATATTAATAGCTTAGTATAAAATAAATAAATTTGTCAAGTTTGATCTAAATATATCCATAAACAAGCAAACTACAAAATTTTACAATATCCTCCATAATGATAACAAGGAAATTTTAAATCGGCCGATCGCGGATGTTGACGTAATCGTGGCAGACGATCACCACTGACGCCGATAACGGGTGTTGCCGCCATCGTGGGATACGATTACCGAACTGGCGGAGACAGCAAATTACGCTCACGAGTGTTGCCGCCGCTGTGAGAGATGATTACCGAAGTTACAAAGACTACAAGTTACGCTCACGGGTGTTTTCGTGGTCGCGGGAGACGATTACCAATGTAAAACTGTAGGTTATGCTTCTCCCGATATCCGCCTTTTTCCTGTTCCCGGTTCCGTCATGGTCGGGTATGAGGGGTTCTACTGTACTTCTTGACTAAATACTTGTGTAAAAAATTACTTTGCTTGTGAATCACAAAACTAAAACTCTACTAAATAGATTCTGTCATCATACTAGACACCTAATCATATTGTGTAGGCCCAATAATTGAATATTAATGTATCAACTGACCATGACTGTGGTTAACAAATCATTTATGATTTCAATTTGGGCCAATAAAATGGAGAAGAGGAGAGATTCTACAGCAGAGAGTATGACAAAAAAAAACAACAATCTCTGATATTTAGACGATCCTAAGAATTACATAATTTACACTGATATAGAATATTGATATTAACACATCTTCTTTCTCTTTGTAGAAATATCATTGCCTATACACAGAATAGACTTCGCAAGTAATGGAAAAATCCGAAGCAAAAAAGAAGGTGGTACAATCTGTTGAGATGGTCTTCCAATTAGGGCCCTTTCACACGAGGCCACTGGTGGCGGCAACCGGTGTCCGCCACCAGTTACCGGCCGGGAAACTGCAGTGGATGATACAGGCAACTTACAAGCCACTCCACTACAGCTACTGTACAATGGCAGTTGTGAAAATGCTGTCGAACAATGAACATCTCCTTCTCGCGTTGATAATAAAGAAAATAAGGCAGACACAGTCGTACTATACCAAATTTCCGGTTACTTTCCAATTTCGCAATTTAGATCTTTAGTATCCACTTTGTCTTCTATTATTTTGTTTATTCTCTTATTCTGTTGTTTTCCTTTGTCTTTTTCTTTTTCAGCAACGTACTCTTTGTTTTTCTTCCGATCACTCATTTTTACAAACAAACAATTCAACACGAAAAAACTCAACAACTACCATAGTCGATGCAGTATGTACGTGAACTGATTCAAAATAGTAGCTGCGCGCTAATCCACGGTGGCGGCCACTGGTTGCTACGTGTGAAAGCTCCCATTTAATTCAATGCCCCGCGACGAGTTGCCGCCACTGCAGTTGCCGACTAGCAGTTGCGCGAGGAGACACTACTCGGCCACTGTGTAGTGGCGGGCAACTAGAGTGGCTGCGTGTGAAAGGTCCCATTTAAAATAATGTTAAAGCTGTGGCGGGCAACCAGTGGCGGCCACCAGTGGCCTCGTGTGAAAGGGCCCTTAATGACAATATTCGAATATTCTGTGGCAAGTGATAAATCGATCAGCTGTTTACTATGATACTGCATTTGATTTTAATTAATATTTAACCAGATACACTTTAGTACCCTCTGGTGAGATGGTCCTGAACTTCATACTATTTTCTTGGCTTCGAATTTTAACATTATACGAAAAGTCTATTCTATGATAGTCAATGGCAATATCCACCGTTTGTTCCAGAGATGGACTATGTCAAGTACAAGTTCGTGGTGAATGTTGTGATGGGTGACCAGAGAGGAGCAGGCATCAGTAGTGCGTCACGTTGCTTCTGGGATGCCGACGCAGACGTTTGCGCCTCCAACACCTTTTTGAACGTAAGGGAACGATGTTATCACAAACAGTAGAATAGTAAAGGAATATTTTATTTTAACTCCTAAATCATTCATTTCAACTCCTAATTCTATAACATTTCTGATCACATTTAATCTTTTCAGGGAAATTTTTTCTGCATGGCAGCTGTATTTGCAGTTTACTTCTATTGAACTCTGCTCCAACTGAGAACGCCTCTGCACTGATCACATTTCCTCTTGTAAATAAAAATTTATGGTTTAAGCAAAATTAGTATTTGAAAATTTTTTCCTTCGAACTTAAAAAAATGTCTGGCAAATTTTTTTTTGTCATTGGTGGTGTTATCTGTATTAGCTTTGACTTAATCGTCAACGATTAGTTAAAAAAACAAGTTGGAAATAATTGAGAATTTGTCATGTCAGTTTAAGTATAATACCTGTATCTAGTTAATCTAGTGGTAGTTTTACAGTGTAAGTAAATCTTCAATAGTAGTTGAAGACTAAGCAATCCAGTGATATAACGTAATTCACATTTTTTAATATTACTTAAATTGTACCGTGCCATGTTAGGCCTACTTTAGTGAACACTACAGTGCAGCCTTCTCAAAGCAATTCAAACATAATTGATTTATTTGGATACTGAAGTAGACACTTTGTTAAGGTTGATGGGTAACTTAATAGCTCACCATAAGGTATTCCATTAGTTTTTAACTTGGTAAAAAGTGTGTACACAACAGAAATTTGTAATTTAGAACACAATCTGTAAGTGGCTCACATCAACTATGTCAATTTTGATAAAACATCTGGCAACAAATTTAAAATGAGGATGGAAAGTCTAGTGGTAACAATAGTCAAAGGTACAACCTTGTATTTTGATGAATAAATGTTTTACTGATTGATGGAATATTGGAATGTAAAATCAGGTATCATCTGGATTGTCTTATTTATAGAATTTGAATCAAAACTATTAACAGAAATGTAGTATCTTGTGCTTTTTTCAATTTATGGTATTTTCAAATCATTATGAAAGTCGGGAAAATGGAGGATACTTTTTCCGACATACTTTGATGACAAAATTCTCCACAGCAGCAATTGAATCAATACAGGAAATAAAACTACACAAGAAGAATGCAAATATATAATTAAATACACATTGGCTTAATAAGGCACTTGACTATAATTTGTCCATGAAGTAGGGTTGGCCATTACGTTGTAACCGGGCAGTGAGTATATCAACACCAGTCTCTGTGACCAGTAACGTGTGTTCAAACTGGGCAGACAGTTGGCCGTCTGCTGTGACAGCAGTCCACTTGTCTGGCCATAGTTCATCTCTCCAAGTACCTACATAACAGTACTAAACATTATACGGGGGTAACAATGAGTTTTTATGGGAATAGTTACAAAAATAGCAATAATCTTTTGCCATAAGTGTTGGGAGATGTTTTATTTTGTTCAAAGTTTAAAGGGCTAAAACAAAATTGTTTCAGCAATTTTAGTAAAAATTATATTTTTTACTATTTATGTTTTTCATGAGAAAACCACCATTAAAAATTAAAATTGGGAAAAACTCTTTAAGAGACAGCATTGATTAGCAACCACAAACTGAATTTCATCAAAATTGAATCACAGGTGTAGTCGATAGCTCTGTACACATCCACAAACATTGTATGTTTGCAGCACAGACACACATACAGATATCAACACAAACAATACTTTCTCCATGTATTATGAGGCATGTATTAAGCTTAAAACAACCTCGGACCAGAGGGCTCGGATAATTGAGTGTACTGTACTGCATCACTGTATGTATAAAATACCGACTTAATATGACTCAGAAGTTGAACTTATCTTGAAATATCTCTTTAATCTACTGTCTGAAGAAGTTCTGCATTAGGAAAAAATTATTGATATACAGTATGTTCTGTCATCTTTTATTTGTGTATCTTTCAGCTCTAGCGGTTTATTTTTGTTAAGTAAACCAGCTGAACTCTTATCACTTTTCAAAACAATACTTAACAAGCCTCTTGGCTTTCCTACAAAATATAACTCACCTTGAGAAATCATCGGCTCAATTGTGAAACAATGTCCTGCTTTCATTACTCCCACTGCCTTGTTCTCTGAAAAACAAAGTTTCATTGGTAAATAAGGTTAAAATATTACACTATCATACATTTTTGTCGAAGGAGCCAAGACACCCCGACAGCTACCCGGTACCTATTACTTAACCCGGGTCCCATAGTGTCGGCCGGAGCTTACACACTAACTTTGAACACACCATGGGTGGATGAATAAGGCCATCAAGCTCACCGGCTGCCGAAGCAACCCTTCGAAAAGAGGGTTACCCCTCAATCCTAACCAGGGATACCGGTTACTTGGTCGCACGTACACTCCAAATCGGTACCACCAGGGCCGAAACCCTGAAGGACCATAATGGAATGTCCTGAACGCAACACAGTGCAAGCAACACTCGGGACCTATTTAATCCCTGACAGGCCGAAACCTGCCATCATAGCCAGGAGGAAGGGGACCGTCAGCCTATTTACACCACTACCCGATAGAGGCCTACCCATTCACTGGGAATCCAGGGATAACCAGGGCGATAGATCCCCAGATACCCCCAGCGAGCTTGATCCCAGCACCCAATCTACTTTGTTTGCCCATCTAGCCCAACATCACTGCCAGGCCATCAGGGTTTCCCAAAAGGAGGCAGGTATAGAAGTGGGACCCACCCGGATGAACCTATCCACCAAAGGTGGCGATACCCTTAACTCAACTGAGGTTCCAGGGAGAACCCCTCACACTCTCGAGAACCATACCCAGACAAGTATAAGCTGATGGAGTGTGACCACCAGCCGTTGCCCTCACACTGCGGAAAGTTCCGTTCCCCTAGAGTGTCCCCATGAGCTTACGGGTACTCGCCCATTTTCACCTCCCAGGAAAAAGCTACTTCCAAAGTCGGGGATTTGCCACACAAAATGTCGGTCGCACACAACAAGCGGGCCGAAGCCCATAGAACCACAGCCACAGGCAGATGGGAAATTGATGGCACACTACCACCTCTCCGAGAGCTGAACACCCCACCATTGTGGATGGAAGAATGTCACTGGGGACTCTCCCCTAAGGGGCTGGCTTGCCCAGTCGTCCATAACTATGGCCTACTTGAAATGCCGATTCCGACATCGAGCAGTTACCTCCCCTTTGGGGGCTAGCACTTGCCCGTTTTTCACCTCCCAGGAAGAGGCTACTTCCAGAGCCGAGGATATGCCTCACATAATGTCAGTCGTACACAACAGGAAGGGCAGAGCCCAAAGAACCACAGCCACAGGCAGGTGGGAGACCGAAGTCTCGCAGAGCTGAACACCCCACCATCCTAGATGGAGGAATGTCACTGGGTAATCTCACTTTGGGTACAACCCAAAGAGGCTGGCTTGTCCAGTCGTCCATAACTGTGGCCTACCTGAAGTGCCGGTTCCAACACCGGGCCATTACCTCCCCTCTGGGGGCTAAAATATTAAACTGCATAATTTGAAAACAATGTGACTTTGTAAAAGTTGTAGAATTACTCACTGGCGTAGTGAGGTATACTGGGGGCCGTGTGGAACAGCTGATGTATACCATGACCGCAGTAACTACGCACCACCGAGAACCCATTAGCCTGTGCATGCTTCTGTATTATGTTGCCTATCTCTCTATACTTCTCTCCTGGCTTTACTGCAACAAAAACAGAACATTAACTTAGGCTATGGGAAAATAACCTTTTAGTTACTCCCACTCAATAGTCTTACCTCTTTCTCTACTTTTAATTAATTGTTGTTTAGTGGGTAAATGGGATTTCCTCACAAAAATACATTTCATTTCACTTACAGCAAAGGGTTTTTACTTTTTATAAATAGATAAAAGCTTTTACTTACTATAATGGTAACTAGCAGTTTATTCCTCATTTAAAGCTGTGTTACAACAGAGTTTACAACAAAATGTTTAATTTTTTGTGTAAAATCTGGTGGTGGTGGTTTAAAACAAGTTGTTAAAAATATATAGAACAAATATTTCGAACTTCTTGAGGAAAACTATATTTTTGTTGTAAGCACTATAAAACCGTTACAGACATTAACATGTTTTCTAGAAAAAACTAGCGGTTATTTGGATTACTGCAATCTTCTGATTAAAAATCATCAACGAGTACCAAATCCGTTGTAAATGCTACTTTGCAAGCGAAAGTAAGGTAGATTGAATCAACACCTGCTAACCTATACTGATGGCTCGGTCGAGACATTCCCATGTAACCTGTACTAGTTTCTTGGCTGCTGCGCTGACATTACCCACAAGAAAAGTTTCATTCAAGTCTCCGTGGAAGTTCCTGTGATATACTGTCACATCCACTGAAAATATATATTATCATAAAAATATATAACCAAACACAGAACTTGTATACTGTATAACATTTAAGTTTAATTTTGGCAACTCATTGACTGCAATAAAATTTTTTAAACAATTATAAAAATAAACTATTATTATTTTTTTACTGTCAGATATATGGTTAGGCCTATATGGTTAGAGTTTTATATATTTTCATTAATAACATACTCAAAATCGATTAGCCTAATTCATGAAAAAGGTTTTGCTTCTTTAGATATGTTGTTATGATGATACGATCACATTTTACGACAAAGCTATCATGATTTTTTTAGATATCTTAAAATTAATATGACCGACGTTAAAAATTAAATCCTGTAAAACCTGTTACAAATTAAATGGTCCATTCAGGCTTGCATTTGACAGGCCTACTTATTTTAGAACTTAACTTTCACTGTTCTTAGCAAGTACCCCTTAGCAGTTAATACATATTACAAGACAATTTAGATAAAATTCTTTATTTCATTTTTAAGTCCTAAAATGTACAAAATGTATACCCCATGCAGTCATAATAAGCAGTGGGAAAATCCTAACATTCGTACTCAAAGTCTTCTTCAAAATTAAAGCTACTCTCAACATAAACAAGGCATTTCACAGATTATTGCATCCCATAAAAAATTCCGTACCATTGCAAATGTCACCGTCGGCCAATGGTCGTACGTCTGGTATTCCATGACAGATAACTTCGTTGACCGACGTACAGCAAGACCGAGGGAACTGGTAGTAGTTGAGGGGGGAGGGGTAGCAGTCTCGCTCTATACAAGCCTCGTGGACGATTCTATCTATTTCATCTGTCGTCACTCCAACGTCAACTATCTTCGCTGCCTCATCCAGCACTTCTCTGCCTAGCTGTTTGAAACAGAAATGTAATAAATTTAATGCTTTATAAATTCGCTAAGAAATAAATCTATTTTTCTTTTGACCTGATATTCACATCACCTCAGTTTGGATTGGTTGGTTTTGTTTTACTTTGTGACCAGTCAGAGGATACTGGTAGGAGAAGGGTAACTATTAGTATAAAACTTCATTTTGTAGTTTTAGGTTCTGAATATGCAACATAATTATGATTCAGTAGACCCACTCTTAACCGACCTCGCTTAAACGGATAATCGGATTAGGCCAATCCGCCCTCGCTCAAAAAATATTAGTTTGTTTTAACCAACTTGTTTTGAATGCAGTTCGGTTTCTAGAAATCTCGGCATTTCCGCTCCCACGCTCAGCAATGGGAACAATACGCTAACTTTACAGGATGTAACTAAGAATACGGTAAGTCTCGTAATGAAATGGTTGCATTTGTTTGTATCTTTAATTTCGACACTAAGTCTTGTAGGTACTTTACTAGGATAGATTTGCACAGCATCAATTAATATTTTTTTCTACAAACTACAAACAAAAATCAACTTTTGCTCAACACCTGAGATGAAAATCATGACTTAAATAAATAGCCTTGACACTGGATTGGAAATCCTTCACACCTGTACAAAAGGCAACAAATTACATACCCTGGAAGAATTTGAGACCTACAAAGCCCACATAAAAAATGACAATAGTGAACTTATTTTAAATGATAAATTACAATTCAAATCACACTTCATCTTAAATAGTATTTTAAATCAGTGGATGGAACCAAGACCAAGGGGGAAAAGTACAGCTGATAACGCCGCAGCCGACACAACAATGCAACTGACTCCAGTCAGCTACTTGCTCGAAAGAGGAAATGTACGTTCCTCAACAGGCCTGTTTTTTAAAACTCCGTTTTGACTATGTGTGTGTTTCATGTGAAAATGTGTTTGTGTTATAACGACGCCTTTTGGCTGAAAAGTCTGATGATGGCACAGTGATGCTGAAACGACTGTAGGCCTAACATTGGGAACAATACAGGAGCGGGCTGACGAAGGTAATATTACAATTTAGAGTTACTCTACTAGAAACTCTACTCTACCCACAATTCTACTCGTGTAAACCCGGCTTTACTAATTTATTCAGCTGCAAGTTAAGTGGAGGAGTAGGAGAAAATGGAGTCCTAATCTATGTCCAAACCAGGAAAATCCAAATAGAAGGATCTATAAAAAGGTTACCCTACAAAATCAGATAAATTAATTCGCCTACCTTGCAAGCTAACCGCATGCCTTCAATTTCCTCATCAGAGAGAGTTTTGATCTGAGCAACTTGCTTCACTTGTTGTTCGGATATTGGTACCCCAGTTGGGTGAGTGGCATAGTCTGGTCGAGGTATTTGTTTGGGTACAGTCCTCGGTGTACTCTGAGGAAACGGCCGAAGTTTGCCAGTAAACCTAAAGTTTGGCCATGGATCGTATTGGTCTGCATAGCCAGTCCCATCTACTCCTTCACCCTCTGTAAAACAAATATAAAATCAAATTTGAAATATAACTAATATTTAAGCAAATTACAGCTTAAGTGAGGGTCGAGTGATAACTTAATCAAAATTGCACTCAAAACTAAGGGCTCATTTATACTTTCTAGCCTAAGTTCTAATAAAATTGACATAAGTTCTAATAATAATTGTCCCAAGCATACACCTTATGGCAGTAAGAACGATACTGATTGACTTGGTAATAGCATCTCAATAAAAAAGTAGGTAGGGCAGCAGAAAACCTTATTTTGAAGTACCGGTACGATTTTCTAGATACTTAAATTAGGCTATTTTATTTCTTTCACCAACAGGCTTGAAATTTGTTTTGAATCAGGCTACTAGGCTTCTACTTGGAGCAAGTCATGGCAATACACTAGATAATAATAAATTAATTAAATTGTAGCCTATAGATTTGTTAACAAAGATGACTTACTTGCTATCTTATGGAGTACTTTGTGATCTTTCCAATAGCCTTTGAAACATTCCTGAAACAAATCAAATCAAAATTCGTTATTCCATTAAGAAAAACAATGCAATAGGACACATCAAATTCTTAATCTAATTCTAATATAGGCCTATACAAGAAGTGCCAAAAAGGCAGTCTAAAAGGAAACAGAAATTATGCGTTCTGCATACAATTTTAAAATGTAGGCCTACCTAGATTTTGTGGAATTACCTAGGCCTATCTATGTTAAGCATATGTTTGTTATTGCGACATTGTGAATAACTTATCTGTGAACAATTCAATGTTTAGGTGCTCTGGTTTTGATTTCATCAAACTTAACTTATAATAAAATTTTGGCTGTTTATGTTCACTTAGCCTACCTACTTTAAGATTTTATAAAGGGTAAGTTTTTATGAGCCCAATCTCTGATACAAATCACCCAATGTTAATTTTTCTTGATCTTTTAGAGTTCATTTATGTAAGCTAATAAAATTAAAATATAAGTTAAAGTCTTATCTTTTACGCAGATTAGGCGTCCGGCAGTGACGTCGCCGGGTTGTGAATGAGAATGAGAGAGAATGAGAATGAGAGAATGAGAATGATTGTTCGTGAGAATGAATGATTGAGAATGATTGTTATGAGAATGATGTGGGGGCCCGGAACACCATTACCACAAGGATATGATGATCAGCCATCAGTGATCGTGGTGAAGTGGTTAGAGTGCTCGGCTGATATGCAAGAGGTTCCTGGTTCAAATCCCATCGTATATCTTTTCGTAAAAGATTATGTATGCTTTCAATGCCATTTCTTCTTAATTGTACATCTTTTGTTAGAATTTTTGGCATTTACAATTTTATTTTACTAAACATTACCTAATCAAACTTGTATAACCTATGTAACTTAGGCCTAGCCTATTCCATCAGGACTTGTGGCAGGTTAGAGCGTTAATTTACAATTAATCTGTCTAAGGAACTACGTAGCCAGCTGAGTTAGTACAGGTAAACCCCAGTTTCTGTGATGATTGGAGACTGTTTAAATTAACTTCAGTATTCTCAAAATAATTTCCTGGAAATAAATCCTAGCTCATTCTAATCCTTGGTAAATGTAGAAGCCCCACCTAGGGCTTAAAATAACCCTAAAATGGGGGATAACTAGGCCTAATGGAGGTTAGGAATTTTGAGAGTATAATAGGATTTAAAAGTAAAGACAACAATTTTACCTGAGAGCAGAAATATGAACCTTGAATGCCGAGTTTTACACACGTTGGACACTGCAATTTAGCAATTTCAACACAACCCGGGGTCTCACAACTCCGTGTTGAAGCAGAAGCCATTGTCTTGTCTTGTCGTTGTCGCCCAGCAGCCAGCACTCCCAGCACTCAGCAGGCCAGCAGGAGGAATAATAGGAATTAGAAAATTAGACAGACACAGACGGCCAGCCCCAGGAATAGGAATGGAATGAATCACGCAAGAATCGAGGAATGAGGAATAAGCGAATCAGGATCCAAATTCCTACGCAATAATTGCAAATGGCAATAACCACCAAAACAACCAAGAAGAGACCGACGATCACCGAAGCCTAGCTCAGTGCTCAGTGATTTGAGTGATCACCGAAGACCGAACCACCGAACACCGAAAGCGACGAAAACGAAAACTATGTAAAGTCAGTAGACTCCTAAAAAAAAGGTGGCCGGGCCTCATCCCATTGTACATTTTGAAGCTTGTTTTTTGCGTCTAGTTCATGTACGTCCACACTGATCGCTAGTGTAGACAAAATTTAGTTTATATTATTTTAGGGTTATTTTTATGATTTATGCTTTACTGTTTGTTTATGTTACTAGAGGACGAGTTATTGTTCATGATTTGATAGTTTTGTTTGGTTAAATGGTGTTTTAAATTACTGTGAAATGACAAGAAACAAATCGTAAACAAAACACGACCTCTTCCTTCAGTGCACCGGATAGAACCAAAAATAAAATTGGCTTTAACTGTTCTATAAAGATGAAAAATCTACTAAGGGAGTATGTTTGATCTATGGTAGATAAGCATTGACTAATAGAACAAAATAATATTCCATTCATCATTCATCCATTGTAATGTAAAGGTTTCCGGTTCCATCCAGTGGTTCCATCATCCTTTTTTATTTTATGCATTTTTACTGTTATATCAAAAATAGCCTTACCATTGAGATATAGATTATAGACAAGCTGTACTATTTTCATCTTCATGACGATTCATCAAAGCTTATGCTGTGTAGAAATGAACCACGGCCGCCTTTAACTATGAACCCATGTATAAGGTACTTATAACCGTACAAGGTATACGATATACAATGATTGATGCTAGTTCAATTAATGTATTATTACATGTACATGCATTTTAAAACTTATATTATTGTTAGACATAATTTATTTGTAGAATTTTTATTGTAGCTTCTATCATTTGTATACGCATTATTATACGTATTCCACAACATATGTGCTCAATGACTAGCAGCACCAAAATTGTATTTTTCATGTCCTCTTTTCATGCCTTGCTGGCGTTGGCGAAACTGTTGTTGTTCTGTTGTTATGTTGATAAAAAAAAGTGCTTCTTTCTTTTGACTCTTTCCGGTCTTAACAGTCCTAACTCATAGTTTGTGCAAATAATTTCCGAAATTTCCTGAGGTAAGCGATCGTATAGTGTAATTATACTAGACTATTGAAATCTCATCTAAGTTTCAACTGCACAAATTTTTATTAATGACAATTTCCCCCCTTCGGCGAGTATGATCCTGTGTCTTGGTATTGGATGGATTTGGATATTAGTATGTCTAACCTATAAACTATTGTCCACCTAAGCCTAGGCCTTTTCCATGTCAACTGAGATGTCGTAATAAAATGTACGCATGGAACTTTATTATAATAAACTAGTCCTCTTTAATATGTTAAAAATCATATTGTTGCTTAGCTCATATCTTGTCTAATTATTTAATGATCTTAATTTGCTGGAGTAGGCCTAACCTAAATTCTGTACCTAAGTTAGTAGTCACGGCCTTGTTCAGGCCAATTCATTCATTTATTCGTTTGAATCAGAGTAGACAATTTTAAAAGAATAATAGGGGGTATTTATTCCGTATAGGTGCCTCCAAACGAATTTTTAATTTTGATATCTTACTTATTAGTTTTTTCACAGAGGATACGCGTCCGGTAACCAGACGTGGATTAGGCGTCCGGTAGGGGGTCCCGGAACGCCATTACCACAATGATACGATGTTCAGCCATCAGTGTTCGTGGTGTAGTGGATAGAGTGCTCGACTGATATGCGAGAGGTCCCCGGTTCGAAACCCACCGGTAACTTTAACTTTTTGTCACAGATTTTGCTTTGAATGTAATTTCTTCTTAACTGTACATCTTGTGTTAGAATTTTTGGCATTTAGCCTATAATTTTATGTTATGAAGAGAATTGAACCTTCATTTGATTTTTTTCACTATCAGCAAGTTTGGTTGGTTAGGTTAGGTTATGACAGTAACTGCCGGACGCCTAATCCACGTCCGGTTACCGGACGCGTATCCTCTGCGTAGTTTTTTACCTCCTGAATCCAAATAGGCCTAGGGCCTATACCATTATTTTTCCCCGCTGATGAATATTTCTCAAGATACCGCCGTAAAAACATACTTAACATTACAATAAACAAGATAGGATGGATAACATTTCAAGTGATTCTGTAGTCAAATAACTTAATGTTCTCTATAATAGGAATTTTGCCACATTATGGAGATATAGATGGGCTGGTGGACTAATTACATGTAGGTAGTTCTTATTTAGGCATGTCAGGGTGGTAGGTCGTGCTGTATGTGAATTGGTGACTGCATTAAGTGTTTTGAAGTTAGGTTAGATAAGGAAGGTAAAGTTTAGGTTATAATGTATCGAGTTGTTAGTTTATGTTGCCTGTAGACTGTTTTTGTAAAATTAAAATCCTGAGAAAAACACTTCAAATTACTTTTTCAAAAATGCTTGCATTTTTGTAATAGTAATTTGAAGTGTTTTTTTTCTAGATTTCTGATTTGATTTGAATCTAACATAAATTATTAAGTGAATAATAATCGTGCGTGCTATCTCAGGTATTCAAATGCCTCCCAATTTGTTCAATAACCCACCACATGACTGTCATTAAAAGAAAGAACTCTAAAAATACTAATGAGTAACTTAGATCCACCCAAGCTGTGCTACGGAACTAGACTGATGATTACTTAAAAAATTACTCCAAACATGTTCAAAGCAACAATCATCAGTGGTAAGTTTATAGAAGAAATTGTCTTAATCCCAAGAATTACGATGATTTCATCTGAATTACCTTTTGAATTCAAGCGACTACAATTTCCTTTGCATGTTACTTTCGCAATCTCCATTATAAGGCACAAGGGCAATCCCTGACTATTGCTGGGTTAAATTTAGAAAATGCACGATTTTCACATGGACAGCTGTATGTTGCGTGCTCACGTGGTGGTAGGTACGTCTAAAAACTTAGGTCTAAGTTTATATATATTTATTCACTTAATGAAAAAACAAAAAAACATTGTTTATCGACTGGCAATTCAGTAAAATAAATATTCTATTTTTGTTTTTGTTATGTACATTTTATTATTTATGGTCAAGAACAAATTAGGTACCATTTAAAATGATACTTGTTAAGCGTAGTAACGTGCGCTGGGTAGCTGCTAGTAGTAAATAAATACCAAGCAAAGCCATACATCACATGCAAAACAATCAAAATATGTAGGTCTAAGTCTAAGTTATGTCATGATTAAGTGATTTCTCTTTTGGACAGCATAGACTAGCATTGCTTTTAGCAAGGTCAGGTCATTGACCGGAGCATGTGCATCACCTGTCATCGCCTGTATCTGTGCCAGTCTCCTGAATCATGACTCATCTGGTACCGTTCGGTTCATAACGAAATGGGAAAGTCCTACAAACATAAATGATAACCAAACGTAACCGCCGCAGTGCTCTGTATACTTACTTGGCGGAGTATAGCGGTGGCGGCGCTCAACTCAATCCTTGCTGATATTGCTTCCTTCTGGGACGCAGAACTCAAATGTTGCTAATCGTAATCATGTCATATTTGGACAGTTAGCCAATTAAAATTTGTTCTTTCCAATACAAAGTTATTTTTGGTCTCCAGTCAAAAAAATCCCTCTAAAATAAGTTGCCTCTAGGTATAATATGAAAGTAGATCTACCCTTTATTCAATATTAACTTATCCTTATTTTTTAATGCATTTTCTTATTTTTTATTGCAGGTAAAAGATGGCTCCGAGGAAGGGAAAGCAGCAGCAGGAACAAGTCCAAGTCTCTCTCGGCCCTCAGGTACGAGAGGGAGAAATCGTGTTTGGTGTTGCACACATCTTCGCCAGTTTTAACGACACATTTGTTCATGTCACTGACCTTTCTGGCAAGTGAGTACCGTATCTTTAATCAAAGAACAATCAATTTAAAATGTAACCCTGTGTGTGCTGGATGATTCATAATAAGCTATTTTGAGTAATTACAAGCTTCTGTTAATCTCGCAAATTTACATCCCAACAAAGCTATATATCATAAGCTATTTGAGACATGTTTTTCCACCTCACGTCAAAAGTTGTGCGTTTTATAAAGTTGTCAGTTTATTTATTTATTTATTAAACACCAACGGCAAGCACCATTTTACATTAAGTAGTTACAAAAAATATTATAAGATATAATAATTAACAGAGGAGTAACAATGCATAAAAAATATAACAATGTATAAAAATATAACAATAACAAAACATAACAATGAGTTATTGGGGGTTTGCATTTATGCTGACAATTAGAAAAAATGTGCATATTAGGTAGGCCTACTCTTTTTAAGCTATGTAGCCTTTGTTTACTAGGTATTGCAGAATTTGACCGGTTAGTTGTTTTCAGAATGTTAGCATTTTTTGCCAAAAAGTCTAAAACTTTACCAGGGTTGCCACCAGCCATGAAAACCTTGAAAAGCGTGAATTATGCGTGAATTTAGGTGACCATGAAAAAGTGCGTGAATTATGCGTGAATTTCGTCATTGGACCATGAATTCTCAAAATCATTATTAACAATTCAGCCAAAACCCCTAAATGTGCTGAATCAAATACTCCGTATTAAAACCATTCTCGAAATGAACACCGAGATAAAACGTCAAAGTGGGAGTGTCGAGATAAAAAGTTTTGTTGCCATGCCACGAACAGAAACGATTGCGTAGTTTATTCAAGGTCAAATCCGATCGTAACCGACGTCTGCCGAGTAGTCTAGAGATGGGAATTATCGTTGTTTTCCGGCAACGGTTATAACGATAACGCACTGCCCAATAACGTGTTGCGGCAACCTGTTATTTCAATAACGATTGCCAACTCACTCGTTGCCGCTATAAACCGTTGTCCGCCGGTCGGTGTTGCGGCGTTCAGTTATCATTGTCGGTTCTCGGTTGATCAGTTCAGTTTTCAGTTGTAGTCGGGAGTCGGGCGTTACCGCGTTGTCCAGACAGGATGCGTTATTCTAGTTCGTTTCAGAAGTTATCGTTGCTCTGGTAGCGTTGCGGCAACGGCACTAATGGCAATGCATGTTTTCGTTGTCCGCGCGGCTTTCCTGCAACATTGTGTAGATAGATACGTTATTATAATAACAGGGAGTTCTCCGCAACGTGTTGCCGCGATAACGTTGCCGTGGCCGCAACACACAATTGTTATTCATCCTGTTATGTTATAACGCCCATCTCTACCGAGTACCGATCTACCGATAAAATCGATGCTTTCGGAGCTAAAACATCGATCACATCGATGTTTGTTCCGAGTTTCTCGTCTGTTCTCTGCACTGTAACAGCCAATTAACCTAAAACCAATACAATTCAGTTACGGAAAACATCAATATTTCATTACTTTTGTTGGCCTAAAAGACCGATGTAACAAATCAAATCATCGGTTCGGTAATCTACCATCGATGTAAACAAATAACTTCGAACATCGATAGAAAAGACATCGATGTTTCGAAAACATCGACAATCGGGATTGATGCTCGCTCTCATTCTCTACTCTCTACTGCTACTCTAGTGTTCGTGTGGAAGGAAATTCAGAGTAACCATAACCTAAAAGTTTTAAACTGATCTGAGTGATCTGAAACTTAGAAACGAGTCAAACGTTTGAAGTAGTGGTGGACACTGGACAGTGATCACTTGTTGCACTCGTGATTCCGTTTTGTGCTTCTTATAATTGATTACCCAACACTCAGTGGAACAAGTGTTCAAATTAAATATTTTTTATTATTGATATATTATACTTCCGATACTTTACAACGTTAAAATAAGAAGTACCTTGCCTTGCCATAAAGGTCAAAATGGCTTGCGCCGGCTGGAACTTAATCGTCTGCTGTGTTTGTTTTGGTCAAATATGTCGTCATTTCAAACTACTGTCAGTGTTTAGTAAATGTGTTACAACGTGAGATTAAGTTTATTTTTTTGGGCCTAAGTTGCAAGAAGTCAATGTTGTGCTGAAAAATGGTGATTTCGTTCTGAGGAAGGTAAATGTAAATGTTTTGTTGAAGCATTAACTAGGTGTTTTCAGTCAATACGAATCTAACTAATGAGATGTAAATTTAATTAAATAATTGTTTTAACTGTGATTTAAACCTGTGTAGGCAAATAATAATATATAAACTGATCCAATCTGAAGAAACATCCTCCTAACTAAGTTTATTTTAACCTTTTCTGTAATGTAATTAATTATTTTTTTATTACTTAAGGGGATACGCCACTATCTGTAGGCCATATTTTATATTTTTTTTACATTTTCCAAAAGTTGCATTTTTAGATAGGTCATTTAAATGTGAACATTTAGCTAAAATTGTTTGCCAATCTGACAACTCCTTCTAGTATAAAAAAAATAAAATATAAAACGCCGCAACCAGCAATTTAACAAAATTTTGAACTATTTTTTTTTGTTCCTGATATGTACACTTTTAATTGTGTATCATAATTATGTATTATGGAGTTATAAAGTAGGGTACATTTATTTAAAACAAAATAAGTACTTTGCTATTTTTATATATAATATAAAATAATAAGTTAGTGTAGTTATGGGAATTTTTCTCCTGTCAACCACCTGTTACATCACCTGCGATTATCTCAATACCGTGTTTTTTAGGTTATTATTGTACAAAAGTTTGAATAACTCCGTTAGTACTATACTTATAGTATTCAAATTTTCACCAGACCTTCTTTATATAGTAATAAAGGATTGTGTGTATAGTAAGCCCTATAGCATTACATTTACTAAAAATATTTATGTTTACGCAAAAATTTTAAATATTTTTTTCAGCTTTTTTATATTTTGAATAAAAGGTGTCCTAAAAATTTTGTTTTTTTAGTTACCATAACGATTATACACAGAAATACTCATTATTTCATCCTGAATCAGGAAATAAATAGAATATGTCATTCCGATCAGTAGTTGAAAAGTTATTCTCAATAACGACTTCTTAAAAATGTTGGTGAAAAAAACTAAAAACGCATATAAATTTAGTAAATAAGTTATAAATTCAATATTTTTGTACCTAAATCTTCTAACTAAGTCTAGTATAAACAAAATATACTAACTAGGTTGACAAAAATAAAATAATAAAAAAAAAGTTGGAGATAGTGGCGTATCCCCTTAATGTAAGTTAGCCTATGTCTAAACTTACATACATTCCATAACTTTTGTTTCGTTCTTAGCTTTAACTAAATATTTATTTACATAATCTTACCTTTTTAGAGTGTTATTATCAGTCAGTCGGTAACCTTTAATCTTCTCAATAAATAAAAGTTGGTTCAGGCCTAACTTAGCCTAGATTCAGCTTTGGATTACAATGTTGTAGGCTAGCCTACTGTGTTACTGTATAAAGTAATAAATTGCATGTGCGTTTTAGTAGGCCTAGATATGGCCCATTACTAAGATAACCGTTTCTTGATCATGTTCTTAACATTTCTTTTTATAGTAGCCTATTATCTTAATTTGATGTTTAGACAGTAAAGTTGTAGGCCATTGCTGGATTAACTTAACTAAGTTAAACCTTTTATGTTTAGATGCAATGTTTTTTAGGTTAGGCCTAGACCTAACTACCAATCCGACTTATTTTTTTATTTATTATTTCATCTAACGTTTGAATTTATCATTAGGCCTATGATGTTGTTAAATCAGATGTTTCAATTTTTTAAATAATTACATCGTATTATCACACACAAGATTTTTATTAATATCCTTTTTCATCTGCGATTTTACTTTTTTTAGACTGGATAAATTATATTAAATTCTTATTTTTAACTCTAAAATAAACGCATGAAATGTGTTTTATTTGATAGTAGCACACAAAACTATATATTGTAGATAAATTAATGTACAATTCTGAACTAGGCAACACTCTTTTATGGTGAAATTGTGCGAGCATATACCCCATGAATTTTTCAAAACTACCAATGAAAACCTTGAATTATGCATGAATTTTTTTATCTCACTTTGGTGGCAACCCTGTTTACAGTCAGGAAGGTAAAAGGTACCACAGAATAAAAAATAATAATATTTTTTTGGCACTGCTATTGTGGAAGGTGTAAGAAGTAGGTTAATAATGTGAAAAAAATAATTAGTCCTCAGCTAAACACCAACTAAAGTTATAAATTTAAAACTTTGAAAACCTGTTTTCACTTTCAATTAAAAGAATGCACAGAGCTTGAGATATTTAACTTTCTATGGCTGTTTGGTTCCGTCCTACATCTCCAAGTGTCTGAGAGGAGAACTAAGCTATCCCATCTTATTCACGTTATTTGCCACAGTGAAATGGCAACTGTGTGTACACAACAGCTACATTTGTAGCTTATGTTGTTAGCCTACTTTACACACATTTGTTTGCTGATTGATTTTTGGGGTTTTCCAGAGAAACTATTGCGAGAGTCACCGGTGGAATGAAGGTCAAGGCTGACAGAGATGAAGCTTCTCCGTACGCTGCTATGTTGGCTGCCCAGGTCAGTTGATTGATGTTCAATTAACCCATTAGGGAAGGAATTAATGCGCTACCTGCAGCACCCTCTGGCGGCAATTAATTTTACCGAATTTGTAGACTTTTACTCTAACTGCTATAGAAAGAAAACCTTGGGTAATAAATTAATAATTCTTTCACCATTTTGTTCACAGTAAAATTGTCTACAGAAAAGTGGTAATTGGATAGTCAAAGTTCTAAACTAAAAAAAAATATATAGGCTATATAAAGATTATAAAAATAAAAATTTTAAACACAATATTTTGAAAGTTAACTTGATATACAAATTCCAAGATTAATCCAGACACCAAATAACACTACTATTATACTTAAAGTTCAATCGATTCCCTACATAGAAAAATTTAAAGTTGTGTACTTATAAGTAATAACATTTTTTTTTATTGTTTACCTTAGCGCAGCTGATTTTTGGTGATATGTGGTTTCCATGGCAACACAAAATTGTTTGTTATTCGCTAAAATAAAAGAGTAAATACGCAAATCAAGAAGCAAGATATTTATAAACATTATAATAGTAAGAAGAAACTAAAAGGGCGAAAAATAATAATAACTAAATAACTAATGGCGCTGCCTAGCGGTGACACGAGCGGCACTTGTAAGTCGGCCGCCGGGCCTGCAGCGGCTATACGAGTAACGCTCGTAAGTCGGCGCCAATGGGTTAAAACAAATGAAAGTCATTTAACTGAACTATAATATAAACTCAATAGGCCTACAACATTTTAAATAGCTGCACTGACACAACCCACAGCATTAAATAATTGTGTTTTGGCAATGCTGTACATAATCAAGCGCTTTTCTGTCATTTTGATAAGACCTAGTTTGATTTCACTGATTTTGCATTTGATGCCTGAATGTGACAGTGTATAAACCTGTATTTGTTGAGTATGTTTTTGTTTAAGTTAGTTGTTAAGTTTAAAATATTTAACAAGTTTTGTTTTCCCCCCCAAAAAAGTAATTGCTTTGTTGAGTTGTGGTGTGTAAATAGTTATACAGTTTCTTGATAAAGGAGTAGGCTAGACCTAGTTGGTTTTTGTTTGGTTGTGATGTGTAAATATAAAAAAAAAAAAATAGTTTACGCAACGATTGCGTAAACATAGTGTTAACGACTATTAATTTTACTTGGTTGACGCTAAAATTAGATTATACTTTACCATGCCATTACAATGTTTTTAATAACAGCCCTCGTTAATTAATCAAGTTACCGCTTTATACTTTTACACATAAATGTAGTAAGTTAATGATCAAGCTTTCAACCACGGTTCATGTACTTAACTCCATGAAATTATGAAGGATCATTCAAAGAGTAAGCTGCCAGATCTGTGAAAAACTCCATTATACATTAATTAAATTCAACCAATTATAACATTTGTCCATTCACACCATTTATCATTTGGATTCTATTTTGAAATTTGATGGGTTGTTATTAGTTCTAATATTTTTGACAGTTAAACCCCTTTTATTTGGTACACAATTGATGAGAATTTCCATTTTAACACCCTTCTGCCAGTCAAGTTTCTGAGTAATATCTTGTATAGGCCTACATACCTTTATCCTACTACCTAGAGGCCTGATGAATGTAGGTAGTATCACTAAGACAAGCAGAAATGTGGCACTTGGCCTCACTACTGCAATACCTGAACTTCAGTTAATTTATAGAAAGTACTTGCGGTTCAGCCAATAGGCTATCACGATGTTTGTTATATACTAACATAGAATTATGTCACAGGATGTAGCTGAGAAGTGCAAGAGCTTGGGTATCACAGCCCTGCACATCAAACTGAGAGCTACGGGTGGCAACAAGACCAAGACTCCCGGTCCCGGGGCTCAGTCAGCACTGCGAGCTCTGGCACGTTCCAACATGAAGATTGGCCGCATTGAGGACGTCACACCCATCCCCTCCGACTCAACCAGAAGGAAGGGAGGTCGTCGTGGTAGGAGGTTGTAATTGCCAAGATCTTTTCTTGTTTTGTTTTATTACTTTAAATAAAAGTCTTGGTAATTTATGTGTGTTTTTGTGGTATCACCTTTTTAAAAAATTTTGTAAATACAATTTTGTAGCTAATAAGCTGTGGTTAGTTTTCATAAGTATGCCTATGTCTTTTTCTTTTTGCTATTGGATTTATTAACATTGTTGTTTCATGCCACGTGTAAGATCAAAGTTGGGCTAGTAGCAAGACTAAAGATGGGACATAACCAATATGATTTACAATTAAGTATGTCTACTGGTAATGGATATCTCAAATTTGAATTCAAAGGTCTTTTAAGCCACATGGTTTTTATGAGAGCCTATGAGTTAAAAATAGGCATTTGTTCACCCTCCTCAGTTGGAAGTTTCAATCATAAAGCTGCATTTTTTAAATTATGAAATTTGTGAAAACAAAAATATATCTTACACTGCTTTAATACTTTAATAACATAGTGATCATCTCATGATTTCTAAAATTTAAGGAATTTCCCCTATAGTTAAGCATTTATGGGTTGAGTATGAACTCTGAAAGTGTGAGTGTGACACATTTTGACTTATGATTGTTGTTGGCATCTTTGAGATGACTTTGGGAACGATAGGCATATGACAGCTGGGGTAGCTGTTACATTCGCACGGGAATTTGGCAAACCCACTCTATGGAACTGTGTGTCTGACCATCTGGCATACCAGCAGGTCAAAGATGGAGCTGGAGTATACAGCTTGATAACAAAGCTGGATTACTGGGGGAAGCCCAACCTAAATGATTATGACAGGGCTTTTGGACAGTTCTGCAATGATTTTAAAAGAAAGGGCTACAAATATCTCTACTGCTCTCCCATGGGCTGTATAAGAGATAGAGTAAAAGTAGAACATTTTATAAAAAATGTCATCAAATTCCAAGTGGAGACTAAGGCCCAGATTAAAATTGTTGCATACAACCAAAGATCAGCACGTGTTTTGCGGAACGGCCTGGATCACAACACCTTCATAAAGGAAATGGAGAGGTGCTTGGAGACCTTTTCTTATCTCCAGAGGGAAGAAGATCCACTAACACCAATAGCACCAGGAGAACAAACTTATGCAGATGTTGTTAGCCGCTCTTCACCAGTGAGTCCACATCACCCACCGCTGATTAATCCAGTGAGCAGACAGCAGATGCCGACATCAGACGTCCCTCTTCGCCTCTCTATGAGTACCACCACTGACCACGGAAGCCTTCACCTACCAGTTACTCCGGAGTCTGACCGGTCATTTGGTGTCATTAGTGGTGAAAAAAGTCAATCTAGTGTGAAAGTGAGTGGCAATGAAGATGATCGGGCAACCAAGGGTAAAGATAGTAGCTTAAGTCATAGTTTTTTAGAAAAACGGTCTCAAGTCAATATCATAGTGTAGCTTCTGGGCAATTGTATACTCCTACTCGATTAAATCTTCTTCAGGTAAATATTCAATGTTTGAGAAATAAGTTACTTGAACTTGAAAGCTTCTGTGAGGAAAATAAAATAGACATAATATGTCTCTCAGAACATTGGCTTACTTCTGAGGAATTACAGGTTTTTACACCACATGGTTACGTTCCAGGTAGTTTTTTTATTAGAAAAAATTTCAAAAACGGAGGTGCAGGAATTTTTGTTAGAGAGGGGATTGAATTCTGTAAATTTGATATGAGTAAATTTAGTTCAGAAATAGACATAGAAATTAGCTGTGTTAAAATAATTAAAGACAATTTGTATGTTATATCATTGTACAGGTCACCTCGTGGCAACATAGATATATTTTTTGAGAAACTTGAATTAGCCGTGAAGAAGGTTTTATCGAGGGGGACCAAAGTTATCGTCTGCGGAGATTTTAACATAGAAATGATAACAACTGATAACAACAACTCAATTTTGTTTTTGAACTTATTAAGATCAATTAATTTATACTGTACTTATTCCTCACCCACCAGAAACAATGCCTGTTTGGACAACATTTTAGTTAACTTCTCCCAAGATCTGTATGAAGTTACCTCAGCTGAGGGTCACTTTGCGGACCATACTCCACTCCTTTTCACTTTAAAATCTAATATTTCATATACCAATAAAAACTGTAAAACATCACAACAAACTTCTTATTACCGATCACAGAATAATAATGTTATCCAGCTATTTACCAATGAATTAATAAAAGAGAAGTGGAGTATGGTCGAAGAGCACAAAAACGGCAAGATAAATGTTAATACACTGTTTGATAGCTTCTTTAAAAGATATGTAGACCTTTGGCATTTTTGTTCACCATTATTAAAATGTAAAAAAAGCAAACCTACAACTAGTAAAAACAAAGTTAACTGGTATACCAATGAGTTAAGAGTTGAAAGAGACAAAATGCTGACTTTATTTCACATTTACAAAGATTTATCAAGGAGTGGCTCTGAGCAGACCCAATTGGCTTATAACGCTTATCTCACATGTAAAAGAAATTATAGAAAAAACTTAAAACTAACTAAAAAAATAGCTTGTGAGAAATACATTGATAGTGCAAGAAACAGATGCAAAGCTGCTTGGGAGGTCATATCCCAAGAAAGCTGCAAAAGTTCCACCAAAGTCATCCCTCTTGACCCTGAGTGTGTAAATCAATACTTTATAGAATCTGTCAATGAACTGGTGAAAGGCATTCCTGACACTAATGTCAGTATCTGTGATTTAATGGGTACAAGACCTATAGCTCCTAACTCCTTTCACTGGACAAGTGTAAATCTGGTTGAAGTTTCAAAAATTGTTTCAAGCCTATCAAATTCAAAAAGCACTGATTTTTATTGGATATCCAACTATTTACTGAAACAGACAATAAATATAATTAAGGAACCACTTGCTTATATAATAAGTAGATGTCTAGAATCTGGCTATTTTTCAAATATGTTAAAATTGTCTAAAATTACACCGGTTTATAAGAAAGGAGACAGAAATCTTCCACAAAATTATCGTCCTATATCCGTTATTCCAATTTTTTCAAAATTATTTGAAACTGTTATGTACAATCAACTTAGCAACTATTTTGAAATAAACAGACTATTTTCTGAGTCCCAATTTGGTTTTAGACCCGGACATTCTACGATTTCTGCAGTAATGAAAATTGTCAGTAAAGCACTACATGCCTTTGAAAATAAAGAATCAGCCTTCCTATCCCTATTAGATTTAACTAAGGCATTTGATTGTGTACCGCCTATCAATATCCTTACTAAACTTAACTTTTATGATGTTTCTGGCGACTCCTTGAAATTAATTGAATCATACTTAATGAACCGTAAGCAATATGTAAATATTATGGGTGCTCACTCATCATTGTGTGATGTCTCCTTGGGAGTGCCGCAGGGCTCAGTTCTCGGACCATTTCTCTTTATTGTAATAATAAATGATCTTCCCAAAAATGTAGGTGTAAATTCTATTATCTATGCAGATGATTCCACGTTTTTTACTTGTAATAAAAACCTTGACCTCTTGGAGGCCAGAATAACCTCAGCTCAAAACCAAGCACAAGAATGGTTCTCAGCTAACAAACTGCTGTGTAATGAGACTAAAACTCAGAATATTTTGCTCAGTCTTTCACAAAATCAAAACTATCAATCAAAATCAATCATCGATCTAAATCAATCTGTAAAACTGCTGGGAATTCACATAGACTCAAAGCTCACATGGAATGACCATGTTGTAAATTTGTGTAAAAAACTCTCAAGGGTCAATTGTTTGTTTTGGAAACTGAGCTCCATAATCTCTACTGACTATCTGAGGACTGCCTATTTCGGACTCTTTCAGTCTCATATTGCTTATGGTCTCATACTTTGGGGACACTCTGCAAATGTCTCAGATGCCCTGATTCTTCAAAAAAAATTAATTAGAACCATTTGTCAAGCCAGGCCTGGAGATCATAGTAGATGTCTTTTCAAACAATTGAAGATTCCTACAATTATTAACTTGTATATTTATCATGTATTAATGTTCACAAAAACAAATCTAAATTCTTTTTTTATTAGACGTGAGGTACACAATCACAATACCAGGAATAAAAACAAACTTGAAATCCCGCAACATAGGTTAACAAAGTTTGGAAATTCTTACATGGTAAATTGTGTTAAATTTTTTAATAAGCTTCCCGATAATGCTCACACCACTCCTCTTAAAGGCTTCAAAACCAAGATGTATCAATGGCTTCTAGACAATCCATTCTTTACTATTAATGAGTTTATGGCCACCAACATAGATAATATATTTTAAGTTTTCAAATTAATGATAAGCATTAACTTTTGTTTGTTTGGATGAGGTTTACCAATTTTATTAATTTAATGTTTATGAAGCTGTTGTTTGGGTACTAGGCTGGAGTTGCAACTTTAGTTTTAATTTAAATATATTTAGATATTATTGATGATTATTATCGATATTATTGATATTATTTTATGTTATTGACTGTATATATTTATGTTGACCATGCCCATCTCATGTAAAAATGATCAACGGCAATAAATATCTTATGTCTTATGTCTTATGACCAAAACCAATATTGACACCCTCCCGGCAGGTGCACAACATGGGGAGGAAGTAGCTCAGGGGCGTGTTGCAAAACAGCGCTTATATTTCACAATCAAGCCCAAACCCCCAGAAAAATTCTAAAAGTCACATTTTCAAATTTAAATGCCCTCTAAAAATTAAATATCTCTCTCCATGTAATTCTTATGTGGAAAATAAAATGGTAAATGACTGAAAATGATGGCATGTACACAGAAACCTCTTCGGAACATACTAGAAACTTATAAAGTTGTGCAAAAATGTAGAGAATACAGTACTTTTTTATAGCTTTTGGGCATAAATATTAAGATTTTACCTTGTTTCTTTATAAAGAAGGTACAACCACTGGTATACGTTAACACAAATAAAGAGATCTGAATATGAAAACAACGGGGTATTGAATGAGGTTGTATGCATAATTTGGTAGGAAACCATATTTTATTAGTGAAATAAGTATTCATATAAGAGGACGGAACACACTATTACAAAATATATGTATTATATACATGCAATGATAAAAATATTGTTTATTTTAGAATATTTTTGTACTTAAACTTGGAAATACGTTTAAGGCCTCAGGTCCCAAAGTATACTACAATGATTGTCTGTAATTGTATTTTACTTACTGTGTCAAATAAAAATTAACCTACTTTATTCCAAACAAGAATAATAGGACTCACTCCAAATATGTAAAATGAGCAGTAAACGAATTTAGGTAAATAAATATTGCATTGGTGCTTAATAATGTGGGAAACATTTCTTGTACATAAACCTATAGCCAAACATAAAGAATAAAAAGTCTTTTAAAGCCTATTAATACAATTGACTAAGTAAATTAATGCTGATAAACAGTCTGAAAACTAGTGATGTGACGAGTCGGGTACTTTCCTGACTCGACTCGCCAACTGCCGTGAACTCACGAGTCGAGTCAGACTCAACTCGAAACTCGACCCAAAACCAATGCATCATGTGAGTCTGCAACGACTCGGGGTCGACCAATAGGGTTATAGTTTTGCGAGTCGGCAGACTCGGTAGCGGCCAATAGCGTATCAGCTTTACGAGTCGAGTCGACTCGACTCGAGACGTTCCGAGTTCGTGTAAGTTCAGCATTCTCCGTACGAGTTCTTTTTGTGGATCGTGAAGGGTTATACTCGCACTCCGCCAATAGGGTTTCAGTTATACGAGTCAACTCAACTCGCGTTCCGCCAATAGCGTTGAATCTATGCGAGTTGACTCGTAAAGCTGTGACGCTATTGGCCAAAAGCGAGTGCGAGTAAACTCGAGTCAACTCGTTACGTCCCGAGTTTGTTAAGGTTCGGCTTTCTCCGCATGAGTTCGGTTTCTTGACTCGGCTTTTGCGAGTCGGACTCCTAACGTTACGAGTTCGTGTAGCTTCGGCAATCTCCGTACGAGTTCGTACCAACTCGAGTTGTGAATGAGATGACTCGACTCGGGTCTTGACTCGAGTCAACTCGACTCGCCAACTCAACTCGTCACATCACTACTGAAAACGTATATTCCTTAATGACATTTTAGAACCATAGAAGGTTGCAAAATCAATGAACTAACCAACAGATATTCACCCATCTACACCACCTTACTTAACATTTTTAACATTTAAAATGTATTCAGAATATAAAGACTTGAATAACTATACAAGCCAAACATTGTTCGATATATACATTTTAACATGTAAAATAAAATATAAGACTAAACAATAACATATATATTCTTATTTTAATAGAAAATATCATAAGATATAAAATAACAAAATGTATAAAAAATACCAAACCTCATAATTTTACCACTGGAGATTCATAACAAACTTAACAGAACAATAACTAAACATGCTATAAAAGTATTAGACATTACTATATTTTGTTAATACCGGTACACCCTTGAAAAATACTTGAAAGTACCTGATTTAGTTATGTGGAAGATAACATATTTTAATATTGTAAAATATCAAAATCAAACTACATCGCTCTTATGTATGTTGAAAAAAAGTAAGCACTTATAAAGCTGGTTCAGGTTTGATTAAACACTAAATACTCGTCATCCATCCCCCTTTACAAGTTTGCGCTGATTATTTTAAAGATATTAAAATTCCTCTTCACTAAAATAAAAATAAAAAGCTTGGATAAAAAAATACAAAAAATACAAGGATAAAAAAGTTAGAGAATGGTCTTAGATATTATTTTTAACTATTACGAGTTTTAAGTCTTAATCTGAAATGATTCTTACTTTGACACTTTAACTAAAGGTCGTTATTCTGAATGAAGCGGTTCCCTTCTGAGTGCTTTCCGATGTATCTAAATCTACATCTTCCATACATTCCTGCAAAAAAACAAAAATCAATTCCAAACTTATATTACCATTGTTGTCACAATCTGTACCATGTTTCACCTTCAAATGTGAGGTTCCTGATTCGATCCAACACAATATGGACCCAGATGCAATTTATATTAGGACTCGGGGCTATAGAATACAGGGGCTAGCTCACGTCTTTGATGTAGCACTTGCCGACACGGCCCCGCTCCCCCACCCCTTGTGACGTCACCGGGCTGACAGTCGGGCCTGTTTCCATTACGCGGCCAGCGAAAATCTCCCTCTTTTACACGCTCCCATACCGTTGTACGAACATATTTCTCATATGATACTTATATCGTTTTATTCTGCATTAACTGTAGAATCCAAATATCCAAACAGTTTTTAGTTTACCACAAGTAAATTGGTTTTATAGCAACAAACGTTGAGAAACTACAATAATGAAAAAAGAAGCGAGGAATATTTTTATTTTCGGGTTGGCACAAACTTTCAGCGTAAAGAATTATAACTGGATGAAAACTGCAGTCAATCAGTTCTACCATAGTAATTACTTAACGATTCTTAAATACCCATAACAGTTCATTAAATCGTCTCAAAAGACAATTGTTTCAAGATAATTTTGCCGTTCGCTTCGCAATTTTTAGGTTATTGTTATATGGCAACACTGCATCTAACACGCGTGAAATCAACTTCACTCTTTCATTGTTATTCGCGTCTTCTTTTTGTTTCTGAAGAAGATAGAGAAAAGTGATCAGAAGATGAGTAAGTGGCTGAAATCAGCGAAATAAGTTACAATTATTATAATAAAAATACTATTGCTAAAACGCTCTTTTACTTTTTTTTACGAATACACTTTTTACACTTTTACACTTTGTTCTACAGACAATATAAAATTACCTAAACCATTACACATTCCTAAAAGATATCCAACCAAGTGTATTAGAATATATGACAAGGGATACCGGAATATCAAACAAGACAAATAACAATTTTTGTCTACACAATTCTTAAAATTCTGTTTTAGCACTAATTAATTGTTTCAATAATGGAAACAGTGCAATTGTTTTATCAGGATCATAACAATTTGTACTATCATGTTATAAACAGCACGATGCGGACATGTGCGGAACGATGTAATTTGATCGCCAAGTTTATAAAGCCTTACTTCCTGATAAGCACTAAACGACCCGTTGGTTTTATCGAGAATTTTCAGGCTAATTATTGAAGTAGAACTATTAATGAATATTTTTCTCGCTCAGAGTTTGTCCCTATCAAAAAAATAAAAAAAATCCCCGCTTAGTGACTTTTTGTAGTTCACAAGTTTGTAATCCTTATAATTATCTCCTTTTAAAAAAACATATTATTGATCATAACTCAAATGTTTTTGGACCATCAGATTCGGTAGTTAATGCAGATTACAACGATATAAGTTTCATACGGACAATTAAATTGTGTTAATTTAGGCAAGCGTTTGAATGAGAGGTTTGTATATGTGCCGCGCGCTAGCTACACCCGTGGAGTCAGCCCGGTGACGTCACAGCCACACGGCACTGGGACCACTTTGCTAGTCGACGTGAGCCAGCCCCTGTATTCTATAGCCCTGATTAGGACTAGCTGTACCCGCGGGCTTTGCCCCGCTTAACTTCATAAGTATTCGCATGGCTCAACCACTTCCTGGTTGAAGTTCGTTCGCTACGCTCACTCACCTTCAGGTTGGAAATCGTTCGCTGCGCTCACTTGTTTTCAGGTTAGCTCGTTCCCTACGCTTACTCGCCTCCAGGTTGATGTTCGTTCGCTGCGCTCACTCACCTTTTGGTTGCAAATTAGCTGTTGTCATAAATTTAAAAAAAGTCATCCCTTTAATTGTTTATAATACTTTGATAAAGGTTTTTATGTTTTAATATTTAACATTGGAGAATTTAAACGTTGTTCAGTGCACAGGTGTGCTGCGATTGGGGTTTAATACATTTGGACTTATTAAAAAGTAAAATAGTTTTCTGTGCTGCACTCTGTAGAAACACTGTGGCACTATTTCAAATCACGACTAATGCTAATACAGAATGTTGTGATTACTGTATTCAAACCTACAAAACACAGTTGGTGAAAGTAAACATCTGCTTTTAAATTATATTTATTTGTAAACATTGTAGAACAAAAAGTCTGACATTGGCCCACTTAAAACCCTCTGGGGCAGAGCCCTTTTGACGGATCTGCACCAAACTTTACTCGAACCATCCTTGAAAGATGCTTAACAATCCCTGAAAGTTTCATTACAATCTGTCGAGCGGTTTTGGAGTCCATAACGTATATACTAGGGATGGACGAGATTGGATTTTTAGTTCGAGACGAGACGAGATTTTTTATTTCTCATAAAATTTCGAGACGAGATCGAGACGGGATTTCCCTTCTCATACACAACGGGAAATTCACGTTCGGAATTTTTACCTGATTTTGTAACATTGTTAGATGACTGTTTAAATACAAAAAAAATGATAATAGGCAAGAATATTTATTAAAAAACATCAGCATAACATTTTTTTATTAATCACGCCTAACTTATTAAAAATGCCTACGATTAGGAAACATAGTGATATCAGTTAGGATAGAGTTCAACTTATCCTAAAATAAAATAAATCATAAAATAAAATATTAATTTTTATAAAATAGTTACTTGTTTTGACTTTTTTTATAGTAATAAAACATTCCTCACACTGCTAACACTTAACAAAACTTCTCAAATGTTATTAAAATAATTAAAGTAATATTGACATTTGAAGAATTAATTCAATAAGAACGCCTTCGCAAAGGAAACGCAACTACAACACCCTCCTGTATTGCGGGTATTGCATTGACTTTCTGCAGGCGTTTTTAATTTTTTTTTTTTTTTTTTTTTTAATTCTCGTCTCGATAAAAATCTCGGCCAAAAAGAAATCTCGTCTCGTGTAACGAGATTTAAAATTTCCCGAAAATTTCTCGAAATTTCGAGACTTGACCATCCCTAGTATATACATATATACACACATACATACATAGTTCCTCTTTTATAGATACTAGTGTACATGTTGCTCGAATTCGAGCAATTGCAAAGTATTACAGGAGTTATTTCAAAAAGAATAACAGTCATATTTACAATGAGTTTAAAAGAGTCAACTCAAAGAATACCAGTGTGTAACAAAAAAGATACTCACGATTTATATAACAGTAATCAACATTTCCTGTAAACATTGTATCATATTTCATAACCTAGAATTACTTTTTAACGTTTTCTACAAACATTTCCTGACTTATAGCCATATAGGGTTGACCATGTTTATCTTCGTTATTGATAAACCTAAAGCATTCCGGCCAGGTTTCTCCTTCTCAAAATGCCTCGCTGTACAGGCAACACATGTCATTGATAGATGACCGGTTGAAAACGAAAAGTCGTTTTGGGGTAGTGTTTGGGCTTATTTATAAACTAATATTTGAGATTGTCCAGGGTCAGGTGCTGACTGATGAATTAAGCCTATTATGCGCCACTGTTCTGTAGCTGCGGTCGTTATCACAATTGCGTCTCCTGTCTATGTTTCGTTGTCGTCGCGTCGGAGGCATTTCAAAGAAAGAAACAACAAATAAACAACTTAGCTACACAAAACAACGATAAATGCACAAATTTAAGATACAACCATACTAACACGATCCGTCCTGGGGGTTATGTTTACACAAACTCAAATAGTAAATAAATGTACTCAATATGTTTCATTGGATTGAAAAATAAATAACAGCAATTAAATTATACAGCTGATCAAAATGTAAACAATTATGTTCTTCATAAGGATAACATGGGAAATTTCAAAGCCACTGGGGCAGAGCCCAAAGGACTTTTTCAAAAATGTAAGGCCAGTTTGCAAATCTACGCGACACGCTCTTTCCAATGAGACGTCAATGGATAAAATCGGTTAAGAAATGACGGAGGAGTTCAACCGACAAAGTTTCATGTAGCGTATTAATTATATAGATAGATTTCAATTAATGGCTCTATCTAAGAGTAATAATATTAGATGGTAACAAGATCAGGGTATGGATGGCTCCTTTAAAAAAAACATTTAAAATGCACAAGCGTATAGTACATAAAAAACCAGTATCTTTGCATAAAGGTGAAAATGTTTAAATAAGTCCTTTACAGTTACTCTAGAAAAAAGTTGGACAGTACCACTATTGATCTTAGAATCTAATGTTAGAAGAGAAAACAAGTTGTGTTACATTATGTAACAACTTTAAATCAAAATTGTAATGTCAATCTTAACAAACAAGTTAACTCTGCTACAAACATAAAAAAAACCATGAAACCAATTATTATCAATCAATTATCAATTATCAATTATTTAAGATGGGGACGCCACTATGTGCGTATTTTAACCCAAATATGAGTGAAGGATGAGTGTAGGATGAGTGGCGCGATCTTGTAGTCTTGTTAGTGACTAAGGCCGACATGTTCCTTAGACACAGCTGTTAATTAATAGCCCATACAGCTAATGGCAACTAAGGGACCTACAGTTTATAGTGGAATCCGAACCACATTTTTCCTTGTAATTTACGAATTGGTCTAATTACCAGGATAGTACTGCGGATAGTCGTAGTACTCACTAGTGCGGACGTTAATCCACACCAGTGAGCATCGCATCCACAGTGCATCCCTATAAATATCCACAATTCGTGACCTCCTAGTAGCTGGATTACAGGACGACGCCACCCGTCCCAGTCCATTCAAAATCATTTTGAGTAACTGAAAGCAAAACAATCAATGACAACTGATAAATTGAGTAATTTTCTTAAAATTTGACTAAAAAAAACACCTTTTCAACAGACAAGCATACATTTTAACTTATTTATCCTGTCTATAGTTTGTTCAACAATTTACCTTGATGGTCTTTGCCGTCCCTTGATGCTGGTGGAAGAGGAGAATAATCCGCAAAAGAAGGTTCATCATCATCGTAGTCCAGTGGACTTCTAGATGACTGGAATCCAAAATGAGAAATTTTAATCACAAAACTGTTTAAACTAGATACTGTACTGGAGAGGTCTAATCCTCAAAAAGGGCAAGAGAGAAAAATTATCTCAATTCACAAAGTTCTATCATAGATTAAAACATAGTCTGTTCCAAATCTGCTGAAGAATTTTTCAAGGTAAGATTAGTATTTACGTTTATGTAAATATATATACACCTCTCGTTTATGTACGGTGTTTGTTTATGTACACCTACGTTTACGGAAGTGGATTAAACAAAATCAATGGAAATGCCCCCTTTTGTTATGTAGAAGAAAATGTACTTGAAGTCAGTTGTCTTGTGTTTATTCACTTTCCTTTAAAAGTTATATTATTTCAATTTATTCTCTCGTTTTTATTAGCAACTAAACATCTGAGCCTGTATGACAAGGCGTGAGTGGAATTCCAAAACACATCACTGAAGGAAAGTTAAATCTTACGCTAGTAATGGCCGGCCGAACAATCTTCATGAACTTTCCTCTTTGACGAGCCTCCTCCCGTTCATGGTCGGAAGTCGGTCGTGAATCCAAAAACTGTAGCCCAGGAAGCCGATACAACACATAGTACCTGCACATTTATTAAGTTGAATTATTTCTAACATATATTTGATTTTATTCGTAAAAATCTCAGTGATATATTTTCACCTCATATTTGTCACATTAGGAAAAACAAATAGTCTATTAAGAAACTACTAACTTCCCAAAACTCAAGGTATTTATTAGTAGAAACTTATCAAAGCATTGCAAACTATTAACACTTCCCGGACCATAGGCAGATATATCCCCTGTCAGTTTGTGAATGCGGTAGGGGGATATATCCGCTTATCTATTTTGGTTCCGTGGACGGTAGATTATTGCGACAATTAATCTTTGTAAAAACGGTCTTTTTATTCAATTAATCTCTGAAACCGATGTACTAGGAATGTTTAACAACGAGAATAACTTGATTCTCACCAGACCATTTATACTGTTAGGTTATTTTTAGTTGAAAATTTTCAAGTCACAACCGTACCTGTATCTCTGGTAGTCATCGTCATCTTTGGTGCTGTCAGAGAGCTGGTTGGGACAAGCTACATTGCCCAGTAAACTCAAGTACCTCAGTCTAGGCAAGTTATGATCGATTTTTGTCAGTAACAGGTCAAGATTGGTAATCTGCAAAAACATGGCAAGACTTAAAATTAAGTGGCAATTTTCAGATACAACGTTCATTTGGAAGCAAACTGAGTTCAAAGTTATACAAGTCAATGTTTTTTTGCAAAGGTGTTTTTGTTGTTGTGTTTACCAGTGGTGCATTTATCAAGTTTTTAGAGCATGATATTTAAGGAGTTAGATTTTTGAGAATAGGGATTGGGAAATGGGTCCTTAAAAAGTAGAAAGGATACACAATTCTATGTCCTCCCCTTCCACTCCATCTCCTTTGTTATCCTACAAAAAAGAGGTTCTCTCGTTTGATCCAGAAAAGAATTGGAGGCTTTTGAACGGTTAAAAAACTGGAGCGAAATGTCATTATTCAATAGGCTTTTACATAATTTTAAATCATCTGCTGTCTTTTAATAAAGGGATACAGTAGACTCTTAACCGAGCCTAAAGGGATCGGATCTAAGTCAGATAAAAACAAAAACATTTTACCCCCTCCAGGTAGACCGATTGTGGCCAGCTGCAACTCTATAACCGAAAGAATCTCGGCCTATCTTGATTCCCATCTTCAACCTATAGTAAAAGAACTACCCTCCCATGTGAAAGACACCAATCACTTCCTAGACAGACTTCAAATGATTCCCACACCTTTGCCACCTGATGCCATTCTAGTAACTGTAGATGTAACCTCACTGTACACCAACATCCCCCACACGCATGGCCTAGCAGCTTTGGAACACTTTCTTGATCAACGACCGAAAAACTCACTTCCATCCACTTCTTTTCTTATCAATTTGGCCAAATTTATCCTAGAGAAAAACAATTTTCAGTTTGAGGGAAAGAATTACATCCAAACTATAGGCACAGCAATGGGAACAAGAATGGCACCGTCATATGCCAACCTCTTCATGGGTCGCCTCGAACAAGCCTTCCTCCGACAGCAAAAAGTACAACCTGAGTGCTGGTTCCGCTTTATAGATGACATCTTTCTAATCTGGACATCTGGAACAGAATCCCTCAATGAATTCCTCAAGAATCTACAAAATTTCAGTATTTTACAGTTCACCCACAACAGCTCACCTTCAGAAATAACATTTTTAGATGTTAACGTGAATTTGAATAATGGACTGATAACCACTGGCATTCACATCAAACCCACCAATAACTTACAATACTTACATTTTGACAGTTAAAAATAAAATTAAGTGCTATTCATTAAGAATATATAATCATTATTCTAAAGTAGTGTGTGCATTATTTACAAAATAAACTACGCATCTCCTTTTTTTCTTAACCCTTTCCACTCTCTTGTCGACCGTCAGCCGACATCGGCCGTTTCGCAATCATATTGCCGAACGTATGAGCCAAAATGCCGAGATTCCTAGAAATCAGCGGTTTAACCAAACTGCTCTCAAAACAGGGTCGGTTAAAACAACCTGTAATATTTCATGAGTGAGGGCAGATAATCCGATTATCGGTTTATGTGAGGTCGGTTAAGAGGGAGTCTACTGTATTTCCAACACTGCAACAGTTCTCATTGCCAAGAGGTCTGTTTTATTTACCTGGTGAACCTATATCTTTCCTGTCTAGCTTTGCTACCCACTAAAACCAGCTACTTGGCCAGGAGTCCTATGATCAAGGACACCAGGGTCCAGTATCAAACCATTAAAACGTGATTTCATTTCAAGCTCAAACCATCTACCTTCTCATTACCACACAGACTAGGAATGAGCATCGATAGTCGATGTTTTTTCTGTCGATGTTCAATGTTTTTTACATAGATGGTAGGTTACCGATATTTTTGTTACATCGATGTATTTGGCCTAGTATTGAGATATCGATGTTTTTAATTACTGGGAAGTACAAAAAGCAGATGAAAAACTGAAAAAAAAATAGAAAAACATTGATGTTTTCGCAACAATGTTATCGGTACATCGATGGTTGACGTTGATGTTACCATCGATGGTGAACATCGATGGTTGACCTATCAATGCTCATCCCTAATACAGACAGATCCACAACTCACATTGTTCTTGTTGAGAGAGAGGGTGTGCAGAGCAGGTAGTGGGGGAAGCACCAGCGAGTCACTCAGCTGATTATTGTCCAGCACAAGTTCTGTGAGTTGTGAAAAGTTGGCGAGTTCATTTAGATTGGTGAGCGAGTTATAACTCAGGTCTAGAGCTTGAACTCGAGATCCGTACAACTTGGACAGAATCGGCGGAATACGGTGAACGTCCTGTCCCACGTAGCTTAGCTGTAACAATACAGAAATTGAAAGTCTTGAAGCTTTGAGCCACATGCTAAACCTTAGCTTGAGATTATTCAGGCTTGAAATACTGATCTAGTCTTACTATGGGTGACACTCTTAGATATAATAATTTCTCTGATGATCATCACCATTGATTGAGTTTTGCTCATGTTTCTTTGTGATCATAATCCAAATTATTGAGGGACATTACAATCAATATCATTGAAATAAACTATCATACCAATGCAATGGACTCTTCTGTCTAAGTGCAAACAACAGTTTTCTCAACTCACTCAAAAAAAAAATCATTAAACTCAGTTTAGAAAAAAATAGGCCTATATAGGTATACAGGGTGGTCTGGACCTAGAGTTAATTTTTTTTTTTTCGGGTTGTAGAGCAACACAAGTGCGACTCAAATCCACAATTTAAAAAAATATATTCTATACACCTACTTGCAGAAACATTATTTTGATTTTTTAGAAAAACCGGTACATTTATACAAAATTTTAAAATTCCCCTAGTATTTTCATACATTTTTATAACTTTGACACTACCATCATATTCTCCATTAAATTCTATGTAAGAATAAACAGCTTTTGGTGAGCCCAATAAAGCTTCAGAATTACTATTTAAATTGATTAGAACTAAGAAATTTAGATTTTCCCCAAAAAAGGTTAAAAATAAGCCTACAGACACTTTTTTTTAAGAAAAGTACTAGAGATTAGCAAATGGCTACAAAAACTGCTCTAAAATCTTAGGTTTTAAAAGATAAAGGCATTTATCTTGCTTCCTTTTAAGTACAGCTATTCCAGTCATAACTGTGGAAAACATGGTTTAAGGAAAACAAAAACACACCATAACAAACCAAAAAGACACACATGATAGTTTTTATTATTATAGAAACAGCATGAGGCTGCAACAGAATTTTTATCTAGACAAGTTCAAAACAAATTCCAAGTATTGGATTGATAACCAAACCAAAATGCAAATTCATTTTAATTTATTTTCAAAATGTCCTCCGTTCTCTCTGACTCTAGCTCTCTTCCGCAAAGAAATCTATGGGGTTCAGATCAGGAGATCTTGCGGGCCAGGGCACTGGACTTCCTCGGCCTATCCACTTGGGATAGTTTAGCACTTTGCCAATCTCGAATGTCAGTCGTAAAATGAGAAGGTGCTCCGTCTTGTTGATAAATGATATCTTGACGATTTTGTGGACAGATGAAGCTCTTTTCACAAGACAAGGTGTATTTTACGAATGACATTTGAGATTATGCATTAAATTAGGCATCATAAAAATCAAAATAATGTTTCTGCAAGTAGGTGTATGGAATATATATTTTTTTTTTATTGTGGATTTCAGTCACACTTGTGTTGCTCTACCACCCGAAAAATTGTTAATGCTAGGTCCAGACCACCCTGTATAATTGCAATTAGCCCACTTCGTGAGCAGTTCCAAAAGTAACAAGTACAGTGTTACATGTTTCGGCAGAACATCATTTTCAAACACCTCAATCTTAGTACACAGGAAATTTAACACCAGAACTGAAAATGGATTCATGTAACACATTATTATTTTTGTAACTACCTTACAAAGTATTTGTAAATCCATAAGAGTGATTAAGATTTTAAAATATTTTAAAATTTAATATTTTAATGTCTGTTTCCAAGCCTAAGCATTTTTTAAATGTTTCTATAAGGTAATGGTTCAAACTCTATTCTTGTACCACCTAACGTCGACCTTTTGAAGATAGTATCAAAAGCCCCATGACAAATGGGATCTGGGTCTAGCAACAGATCTTGCTTGTAATTAAACCAGCAACTTTCAGATTTAAAGGTGAGCACCAAAACCACTCGGTTACCCAGACAATTAAAATTTCGATGTTGACAAAGTTTTACACCCTGTGCCTAACTAATGTGTTGAACAGTAAATAAAAAGTAAATTTTCATGGCTGGCAATACCTGTGCTAAGTTGCCTAAAACCGAATCTACATTGAGAGTGAAGCATATGTGTGACAGAACACAGTCTTTGTTAGCCGCAGCGGCAGCTAGGGCGAGGCTACGTCTAGAAGTACCGTGGTCGTTGGGACAAAGCGCTGCCTGGCCGTCGTGGGACGTCAACACGGCCAGAGTGTATTTGAACACACAGGAGAATGATTCCGACACTGGCATTGCATGAGAGAATATCCACTAACCAAACTGTTGCTAGTACAATTTATGCAATTTTGTTATGTTTTTACTTTTACTTATTAGTTAACTTGGCCTACATATTCTTTAAAAAAAAAAATGGCTTAGTTAATTCTATATGAATATTTTAAAAACACATACAATTGCAATAGGTATATCAGACAATCAGTCACTAAAGAAAAAAATTCATCCACAAAACTGTAGTTGCGATAAAATCACAAAACATAAGGACAATTTAACTCTCTAAAACTATTTATTTATGTTAAAGTTTTTCATAGTTTTGTTCAACAAACAAAAAAGCACAATATTTATCACGGCCAGTCTTCAAGAAAACATATCCACTTTAAATCTTTTGCACTGATTCCAGTGATGAGGTTTCCTCATCATCTGTCTCGCTTTCATTTCGACACTTGTACACTAAAAACTTGTACAACAAGTAGAAAAGGTAGTAATACACTACAATGACCATCAACATAAGGTGTTTTGATCATTACTTTCACTTGAGGAAGCCAAAAGGAACAAAAGTTGTTGCACAATAAAATTCACTAACAGTCACACCAGTAAGAGTAGGCACTAGCTGATTAGCATTGCAGGCATCACTAGTGTAAGACGTAGGCAGGGGTAGAGAAACCCTTCAAGTCATAGTCACGTCACATCACCAACCATTGATTGATTTCTCCAATTTCAAATCAATTATGTGGATTGAGTCGTTGAAACCTTTTAAATTTAAGGGATTAATTTCAAATTATTAAAACTTAAGATTCTGAACTAATTCCATTAATAAAATTATTGATGTGCAAATTTTGCCATGGTTCAGGATACTTAAAACAAACAGTTACTTTATGCAAAAAAAAACTATGTCGGAAACATTTTATGAGTTGTGACAAAATTAGTTTTACTTGGTAACAAAAGTATGGATGGTTAAATTTTGATTAGCGAATTTTTCCCCTATAGGGAATAAGCTATTACCGTAGTACTCATGGTAAGACCTGGACCCGGGACTGATTTACTTTTTTGTTTTGAGGTCCCTAGAGGCCAAAAACACCACCCGTTCAAATTCATATATAAACATGTCCGTTAGCACGATAACTTGAGCAACAATCATCTAATTTCGATGAAATTTGGTATAAACCTAAATTTATTTGAACGAGTATGTGAACCAGCATGATCAGCTTATGGGAACAGGGGTTCATGGGGTAAAAATTGGGATTTACATTTTTTACTCAAAAACATACATTTAGTAATTTGTAGGTCTATAGCTTAAAAAAACAAATAATTTATTATATTTTGTTGTTATGCACTTAATGGTTAAGGAGAAAATTAAAATGTCTATAAAGTTCTTCATTGAAGATAAATTCCCTATGAAACTTAATGGAACGTCTAAAGGCCTATAGTTGTGTATCAATAGCCCAGGATTTAATTCAGTTGCGCCAATTTGATTGTTGTTTAGTCAAAGATAACGTTAAATGTTGTCTGGGGCGAAATAGTGATGATAAAATAATCTTAGAAAAACGTTTTGAATCAAATGAAGATTATTTTTATTCTGGTTTCTGTCAGATTGTGTTTATTATTTGAGGGATCACACAATGATAGAATAGGCCACTGTATTTTTGCGGTTTTTGTATAACTTAAAGAGCTTCCATATTATTATAAGAAAGAACAAACAGGATTTAAATTTCTGAAAGTTTTGTTAAGCTTTTAACAGGGATTTAGATTTTGTTTGAAAGATAAGAGAACATTTTTTCTCAAGTATTACATTTTGTTTTATCATTCATGCTCAGTACGGTACATAAAGGCAATTGAGGCCAAAAACAAAAACAAAAACTTAACAGTAAAACTGAAAAGTTTGATCAATCAGAAGAACCTAAATCATGGATCAAAGGGCAAAAATAAAGGCCAAAGAAGCAATAGGCCCTACACTTTTTTATGTTGAGATTAATGATAAATGGGACGATAATTTTAATTTTTTAGATGTTGCACCACAAAAGTTGAGAAGTGATTTTGTTTCTTTGACACATACCAACAGAGACGTGCCACTATGTTATTTAAGCGCTTCCCTCCTCCTCCTTTCTTTCTCAAACAGGCCAAATTATCTGCATACAACTAGGCACTCCCTGATGTCCCTTTTCCATCAAAACAAAGCTCCCGTTTTAAGGATCAAGCTTCTTTCTCTTCTGCTTTTTTCATACTACTCAAAAATACCAAATCCCCCACCCCCAATATTCCTCTCTCATATCAAATCCTCAGGGACACACAACATCATCCTCGTGAAAACTACCCCCCCCCCCCCCCCCCTATACTAAATGTTATGTTACAAAACCTGACAACCAGCTGGTATTAGAGCTAGGTCCGCGAACGGGATACTATGATCCGGGATACGGGATACGGGATATCCTATGCAGCCTATCTGCTGAACGACTTTCTACGTTCAGGTAAGGGAATTGCTAGTAAGATATAAACACAAGCTCCTAAGGAGAATTTACCTCATCGCTATCCTTCCCCCAAGACCGCTGTGGATTAGTTTGCCTACTGATGTAGCAAAGGCAGCGGATCTAGACTTGGAGGTCACCAATTAACCTGCCCAGAATTGGGGAGAAGCAACTCCATTGTAGACCTGGGACCAGAGTGAAGGACACTGGTTGGGCCTGGTGTCTTGGAGCAGTAGACGTGGTAGAGGATGGAACCACGGTGTATGGACATTAAACAGCTAACTTGTGTGTTTAAGACATGTGAAAAAATTCTGATGACTATCACAAAGACTATCTCAGTTGGTCAGTCCCTCAGAGTGAATCCCACCTTTCCATCATACAAGGCTTGCCCATGGATTCTAGTAAGGGCAATTCTTCAGGTTTATTTTCAGGGAGAAGAGCAGAGGGGAGCGTAGATACTTTTGCACGGAGCTTTCTCCCAGCTAGAACTCCAAAAAAAAACTTGACTTTTTATTCACCCTGTATGTTCCACAACAAAAACAGCGACAATTATAGCCATCCGTACTCCCCAGTGTGAGAAGGGCACAGTCCAGGAAGAGGAAGAAGGCTGAGGGAACTTGGATTCCTAAAGCCGCATACAGGAAATCTGAGGGGTTTATCAACAGGTCTAAGAGGAAAAGGACGGTGGAAACTGCTAGCCTCTTCCTTGATGGGCTTGACCCTTCGTCTACCTAGGGAGTGGCCACTGGTTTAAGGTCCGGGCCAGCCCCAGATAGATGGGGGGTCAGGAGATTCCATCATACAGATTATAGATTCTAGCTAGTTGAGAGGGCAATGGGTTGAAGAGCCCAGGAACGGCTACACCCCTCATTAAAAAATCTTTAGCATTGTTTAGTTTTTTGCAATAAAAATAGTTAGGAACTTAGGTTCTCAAACACATTTCTTGACTTAATTAATTTTAATTACAACCGTTTTGAATCTGTTTTGTTTCAGGCTGGCTGGATAGCTACGATGAGTGCCCACTCTATGAGTGGAGGAAATATCCATTCATGCTACCTATCGTAGCATAATGATTAACTATCAATAGTAAACTGAAAGAGAATCAGTTTTTGTTTCACTAGTTTCAGACTGTAAAATAGTGTATAAATTTATCATAGCCTATTCGAGATGAGTAGAGAATAATAGACTAAAACATAATTGGTGGGCTATTAGTGAGGGTAAATTAGGGGATCTACAGGACCTACAGGTTTATTTGTTGATCTACAGCTTTACTGGTCATGGAAATTTATTTCCAACAGTGATGAAAAAGTTTTTACTAATGAGAATTATAATATAGGAAAATAAATTATATTTTTATACAAAGTATTGATATGGGATATGCTGTGCAAAGGCCTATTTTACAATTGTCTACTAATTTATGGATAAAAAGATTGCAAGTCAACAGTAAGATAGCAAAAAATATAATTTTATTAGGGCCTAAAATAGACTTATGCACACCTTTTTTAAATGACGGTCAAACATTTATGACATAGGCCTAACTTAGACTCAATAAATCTTATTTCTGTATCTGCTGTGTTCGTGGCAAAATCATGAAATGTTCCGTGATCACGGAGACATCATAAACATCTCCCATGATCATGAAACATAATGAACATCTTCCTCAGGGGAAATATAGAACCTCTTCGACGATCACAGAGACATACTAATTGATTATGATTACGTCCTGCTAGTGAAGCAAATTTTTAAAATTCTTCTGCGATTACGGATTCTGGTAGGCCTACATCAAGAACATCACCCGCAATAACGGGGGGCACAAAGAACATCTTCCGCTATCACAAAGGAAAATACGAATATCTTCTGATATCACGGAGGAAATATTAGCCTAACATATTCCATGATTTTGGACAGACAATGATCGTCTCCCGCGATAGTGGCAATATCCTGAATATCTTTCGCAATATCAGCAAAGTCCTTTTGTCCAAGAAAAGGGGGGTTTAAGACATCCAAAACCCTCGTTGGCTACGCCACTGCTTCAGATGCACCCTTTCCAGTTTTGAAAACTCATGCACCCTCAAGTAGGTTTACCCAATAAATTTATTTTACCTTTCCAAAATATGGGCTCTTATGTTTGGTAACTTTTACTATGAATGATGATAGTAAGTCCTACCCTATCCTTTTTAGATCCTTAGGTCAGAGTCTTTTTTTACTTAGTCACAATACCTACTTTGTATGGTCGCCATTTCAATAAAAAGTATTTAAAAGTATATTAAGTACAATACCTTAAAGTAATACAGCGAGTTAAAGCTTTGTTTACACCAATTTTTTTTTAACATTTGTCTATTTTCGACAGGTAATATTTTCTTACTTTTACTGGTTATATAGCCTAATATATTTGTTATTTTAAAAGATATCTAGACTACAGGTGAAAAGGTTTCTAATTCTGTTGTAAACCCTCAAAAGCTGTTGAAAATATTTGTACAAGACTAGCGTTCGTTTTGTTGTTGTGAACTTATGTTTAAAACACATATAAACTCAGTGTAAAACATGGTTTTTATGTACTAATAAACTTGTAGGCCCCTATAATAAAAATGTGAAATGTGGACCGAGTTAGTAGGTTATCGATAGTCGATATAGCCTACCGAAAATACCAATGTTTTGAAGCCAATAGT